CTCACTGACGCGGGGGTGACAGCCTACGCTAGCTGCAAGGACATTATCCGCAATGCACGCCCAGGTCAATACATCCTAATCATTGGCATTGGCGGGCTTGGGTCATACGCTGTTCAGTTCCTCCGACTCCTCACCTCTGCTCGCATCATTGCTGTCGACAACTCACCTGAGAGGCTAGCCCTCGCCAAGGATTTGGGAGCAGACGAAGCAATCCTTTCCAATGCAAGATCAAAAGCCGAGATTGACCGCGTAACCTCAAATCGAGGCGTCGACGGCGTGGTGGACTTTGTTGGGAGCAACGCAACCTTACAGCTAGCAGTTAGTGTCGTTCGGCCCCAGGGATTCGTCTCTGTGCCTGGCATGCAAGGTGGCTCTGTGCGTTTAGGATGGAACCTGATGGCGACGAGTGCTAAGTTTTCACTATCCCTTGGAAGTACAAGGCAGGACTTGAGGGAGGTGTGTCAGCTGGCGAAGGAGGGTAAGCTGAGGATTGATGTTGATAGGTTTAGCTTTGATGAGATACCTAAGGCCTACAAGCAGTTACGGGATGGTAAGCTGAAGGGCCGTGCGGTTATTGTTATGGACTGAGAGCCTAAGGCGTGGACGAGAAACATGAATTGGCAACAGAGGCAGAGACTTTACCCGTCCAATTGTTATTGCCGTTCGCGTCATAAATGTGAAGTTCGATGAGGAGGTGACTTTATAAAGCCCTTATAGGTAAAGTCACAGTTCAGGTAGCGCATGCTGCTTGAATGATGAGCAGGTTATCTGAATTGGGTATTTCAGTGCCTTAAATTGAGGCCCTATTGAGATATCATCAGATTGAACCCTGGATCACCAGAATCACTTTTACTTTGACTAAACAGCATAACGGACCAAAAGAATGAGCATTAAGATAAAGACCCAGATAACGTATGCAACGTCCCTCCAGGTCGCCTTCTTCTGACTAGGTCTATCCGAAAACACGCTCTGTATCCTCATTTTGCGCCCAAATCTTTTTAAGCTGCATTCTCGCTATCTTCCATCCTTTATCCGTGCGCTGAAACTTGAACCGATAATGCCCTCCAAAGGCATGGTACTCATGAGGCTTGCTTGTATCCATCGTGGCAGAGAACCAGAGATAACATCTCCCCTCAGCTGTGTCTCCATCAACTGTGAACTGCAGATTGCTCATGGAGTGCTGTAGACCTTGAAATCTGTCTTCTGCGCCGCGAGCAGCAGCAGCGATGTTTTCAACGCCGACAATATCACCCCAGCTCTCGAATCCGAGAACACCGTTGGGGATGAAACAGTCGGCGAATTCGTCCCATTTGTGGTCGTCAGCCGTGTTGCAGTAGCGATTGAGTAGGGTTGCTAGTGCATCTTTGTCTTCGAGGAGTTGGAGGCCTCGTAGAAGTGCTTCCAGATTGGGCGTGTTGGTTTGAGCCATGATTTAGCTGTTATCTGAGATGGTGGTTGCGAATGCAAGTTGTTATCGGTTATCTGTCTGTGCGACTCAGAGTTTGAGTAGTCTCAGACAGCATCGTTCCGAAGAAGCATAAATAGAGGCTGTACCTTGGCTAAAGCATGGCGATGGTGGCTGAAAGGGTAGTGACAGAAGGGAAATGAGGGGTTAGCGGATGGAGTTCGGACGGTCCAGCTTCGGCTCGAGAATTGGGTCCTTGAATGCTCTCACGAGGCTACCGAAGGTGTCCAATGCTATTGTCCGGCAATTGGAATTCCTCACTCTCCCAAAGTTAGAACTTGTCGGTGAATTGAAGCAGTGAGAGTGGTATTTTGAGTTGATAGACCAGATAGCTGATTCTTACATCACGCGCTTTACTGGAAGATTGCTGCAACGCGTGACCATTCCCGTGAGGGCGAGAGATTGTTTGCTTTACTTTGAGGTTGCCACAGTATTTGCAATAGGTAAATTGCATATTGAATTGATGCTCTTCAAGACTAATTCGCTATAATGGCTATTTACTACTGGTTGGTATAATGCCCAGTGATGGCAACTCGGGCACTTCTAGTCCAGATGCCAAGCGAACTCCATATCTTACATGATCCAGAGTATCCTTGGGAATGTAAACATCCTTCTCATCACCCATGACCTTGTTCCAATTCTCCAAGAAACCTTCCGCTGTCGTTTCATTTGTATGCCCAGGAAAAGTCGCCAGAGCAACACGTGCAGCTCTCCCCGCTCCCGTAGCGACGCAGACGCCAGATACAGGGCATTCATCAGCACATAATGCAACGAGCAACGGCGCACATTTGCTGGTTTCAAAGTACGTCTGCGTGATCATTTTGGATGCCTCTGAGAGGTCTCCCATCCGTGATGCACCCGAAGGTAAAATGGCGTTAAGCTTGATCCCGCATGATGGGGCGAACCGTCCAAGATCTTGCGTGATGGCATAGACTGCGCCTTTGGAAGCTGAATAGGCGCAATCACCGCCAGCGCCGAATCCAATGATGGCATCTGAAGATACGTTGACAATGCGACCGTGTCCTTGCTTCTCCATGGTAGGCCAAGCGGCACTTGTCATGAGCTGTGCTCCTAGGACGCCAATCTCAATGACTCTCATGAAAGCCAGTGCATCAAGCGCCGCGTGAGAACTTGGCTTTCCAGAGATACCGGCATTGTTGACGAGGATATCAACACGGCCGTATTCCGCGAGGCAATTGGCGACGATGGCTTGAGCTTGGGCTTGGATAGAGACGTCGTGTCCGTCGGCGATAGCACTGCCGCCGGCCGCTTTGATCTCATCTACCACTGACTGGGCTCTGGTAATGGTTCCGGCTTGGCCTTCGAGTGTACCGCCGTAGTCGTTCACTACGACTTTGGCTCCCAGCTTTCCGAGTAAGAGGGCGTATTCCCGCCCAAGACCCCCTCCTGCACCAGTGACGATGGCAACACGGCCTTTGACAGACATTATGGACTGGGAACTGAGTAGAGAGATAAGCAGATTGCGATGCCAAGTAATTGAGCTGTTGGGGACAGGAGAATTACAGTTCTAGTATAATTTCTAGGGCACGGGTTTATATGGCAAAGCAGGCGGCCAGGACCAAGAATGGGTACAAGCTGAACGTCGACATTACAGACTTTTTCCTATTTTGTCGTGTTGAAGAGTAATTGTCGGTCACGCCCTCATTTCTCTCGTGTCTGTACATAGTCAGGCCGAACCTAGCCCGAATTCGCTTCTGCTCCAGGCGCTTCGCCTTCCAGGTGGTCACTGTAACCGAGCGCGCTAACGGTGCCAGACCACTGCAGGTAACTAACTCAATGGCGGCGTCACAGCTCATCAACGCACGATGGAACTATAAGTCATATACTCGGCATTTTTATTTTTATAATCAGTAGTATCTAGTCACAATTGTCCCTTGCACACACCTCCAAAATGTATGGTATCAAAGGAAGAGTATATGCAATTACTGGCGCAGCGTCAGGCATCGGGCGAGCCTCTGCAATTCGCTTAGCGGAACTTGGAGCTGGAGGTCTAGCTATTTGCGATGTCAACATCGAAGGCCTTGACAAAACAAAGGAATTATGTGAGCCTTGACTTTCGATCTCCCCAGCGTCTAGTTGACAGACACCATCTCTAATGTGTAATGTAGGCTCACTAGCTGGCACTAAAGTAGTTGCGTCAACAGTTGACGTCCGAAGCCAGCAACAAGTCCAGAAGTGGATTGACAACACCGTTGCTGAGTTCGGACGTTTAGATGGAGCTGCAAACATTGCGGGAATTGCAGGTGGCGCCGGTGATACGACTTGCGCAACCATTGTACGTTACATAGCAGCCATTTGTCAGTCCAGATTGATACTGATCCATACCGCACAGGAAGAGTCAGATTGGGATCGTATGATGGATGTCAATCTCAAAGGCGTCATGTGGTGCATGCGAGCTCAGATTCCGTATCTCCCCCGCCCGGGAGGAGCCATCGTCAACATCTCGAGCACCTCGGGCCTCAGAGGCTTCCCTCACAATGCAGCTTACTCATCGAGTAAATTTGGAGTCATTGGTCTCACATCGTCCGTGGCTGGCGAGTTTGGCGCCGAGGGTATTCGCATCAACTCTCTTTTACCGTACTTCCTCCCTTTCTGAAGAAGCTCACCGCACACTAACAGAGATAATAGCGGACCGATCCGAACTGAAATGTTTGAAGCGGGCGAAGCCAAGGGGCTGTTTGATTCGGAAAAGATCAGCAAGTTGACATGCCTTGGTCGTATGGGCAAACCTGACGAGGTGGCCAAGGTTCTGTGCTTTTTGTTAAGCGACGATGCGTCATATGTCACTGGCGGTGAGTCCTTTTCTTCTATTGGCAATGTTTCGCAACGTTTTGACACCTTTCAGCGCAATGGACCGTGGATGGTGGGTATGCTGCCTGCTGAGGAGCGAATAACAGGTAAGCTAGGGGAGGAAAGAAAACTTAGGACCTTGACCCTAAATGACAAAAGGACTTCGGTAATTTAGCATAAGTTTAGGATACCTTTGTAGATTTATCTTAATACCTCATAACAGGTCTGATATTTTCTCCCCCCCGATGGTAAATAAAGGCTCTAGAAGAGATATCATTCCAAGCATGTTCAGCAACAAAGAGATCACACAGCATGGCTTAAAGATTCTATATGTGGCGTTCTATCTAGTTCATATCGCTAGATCAACAGAGAGCTGTATTACCTACTTTATAATTTGACGGGCATTACAATCATAGCGGGAGTTATATGACTGTTCTGTATGATTGTAAGAGCGGGCTCCAGATACAGGTGCTGGGAGCTCTATTACAATCGATCGCCGACTCAGTAACAAGATATTATACTTACAATAAATAGGGGATATCATTAAGGCTTAGATTGATTACATTTAAGAAGCAAACGCTAATTTCTATCGCCCAAATCCTCTTTCCGAATATCAACGATATGCCAGGGCACAACAAACTCCTTATAGTAGTCCTTCAGGCATCTATACACTCCCTAAACCCCGGCCTTTTCTCAAAGACTTCATGATGAGCCTAACCTTCGATTAGTCAAGTTCCTTCAAAACAGAAATAGCCAACAAGGCTTCAGTGTCTCTACTCACATCCACAGAGTCCCAGTTGATCAATAGTAGTTGATCTTCAGGATTCTCAATAAGAGGACTGATGAAGTAGCCCTTACATCCATCTTCCTCGTCGAGTACACGAGTAACCACCTTGTTAAACTGAGAGTAATAACCCGACACACCACCTTCAACCACTTTCGTCAACGCAACCTCCATAGCAGGCGACTTCAGAGCGTCTGAGAGATGTGGATGGTCACTGAGGGGTGAGTGATCCATGAGCGCGTGGGATGTCCATGTGACCTTGCGCCCATTCAGAGCTGGTTGAATGACACTGTGGAACTTTGCATATTCAGAGCTTGTGAAGAAAGAATGGGATGACTCTAGGTTTTCCCACAGAGCTAGATATACTTTTGTATATCGATCTTCGAATTTTCTGCCGCTCCAGAAGGACTTTAGCCCAGGTGCCCTGTTAAGCAGGTATGTTAGCCATGTCGATTTGGCGCCGGTTCTATCTTACTTCTTGAGTATTGAAATAGCTGGCGCAAGATCTCGCCCGATTTCAGCATTGGCCGCTGGGCGATGCGGAATGGTAATTAATTGGAGAGCTTGGCTGGTCAGCATCGCGCACTGAGTAGACAATTAGGCTTGAGATGGGCCTATGAAGCACGAATATTAAGCAGATTTATAAGAATATCGGAAAAGCACGAGTAGAAAAACGATGATTACTTTAACCAGAGTGATCTTTCACCGAGGAATGGCCAATATCACGCGGATGTTGCATCTACCGAAATTAGTGCGCCCGTTGATAGCTCCGCTCTGGAGTAGCATCTTGGCTCAGTGATCGGTGCGCCGATAATACGCCGCCTCTGCCATCACGAACATCCAAAGCAATACTATCTTTATCTAACACAACCCATAAGGCTTGTTCCTGAGCTAATCCGAATTCCTGTATCTAAGTAAGTGACCATGACACGCAAGTTCTTTGTTATTGCACGCGTCGTCGGGCGAGATGGAGCTATTGATCTTGTAAGCATGAACATTCCTCTTTATAAAAATCAACTGACACAGTTTATCAGTGGAAAGATCGGCTTGTTGAATTGTGCAAGGTATCAGCTACAGAGCCATACGGCGACTCGTACTACTGGGGTCAAGATGTCGATGGTGAACCCGACACGCTCTGGGGCCTAGAAGGATACACGCACCCAATTGGATTCTTCATCGACCATGTTTCATCAGATATCTTCAAAAGAGAGATGGCACTTGTTGACAAGGATAAACTTTTACGAACAGCCCAAGGTCTGGATAGCCCGGACTACGACCTCCATCACTACGATGAGTACGCAGGCTTTCTTAAGAGGGCTGATGATGTCGAAAGGGATTCTGTGCAAAGCTTCGTCGTAGTGAAGCACTATTGGGCCAAGAGCGAGGCTTTGAGAAATGAGATGCTCGATAGACTAGCTCAATTCGCTAAGGGATTAGTCTCCGGCTCTCCTCATGTTCAGAGTGCGCTGGTGCTGAAGGAATGTCGAGATACGAGCATGGCAAGCCTGTGGCTAAGGTGAGTCCATTGCCCGGTCGACCACTCTTGGTATCACTTGGACTGATCTATCGATCGTTGTAGGATGGGATCGGAGGAAGAGTGGAATGCATTGGAGCGATCGGATCGAATGCACGAGTTTATTGATGGTTCAAAGGCGAATTGCGTCCGCAGCGAAACACATCGGTCTCAGGCGTTTAACGGTCATCTGGGGATACAAGACTAGATCGGATAGCACATCAGATAGATATTAAAACATGTTTATCCGGATTATTAAGTTTACCCGCGAATCATATTTGTCACCTGGCTGCTCACAAAGATGCATCTCACAATCACACGTTCTAGTCTCAAGCTTCACGGGGCTTTTGTCAGGAATATAGAATAGAAGTAGTCAATTCAGTTCTTGGATAGTTTAGCTTGTACATCTGGTTTTTTTCTTGTAATTCTGAAGGTCGGATAATAACCATTCAGCATGCAATTAAATAACAGTTTAATTCTATATCTTACATCATAGAATGCTCTGTACCGAGTACTATGCGTCGTAACCATGGGTTATAGCTACAGGCTATCAGCGCTGTATAGCCACTGGAAATTGCGGGGAAACACAAAGTGGCAGAGTTGGTTAGTGTTTAACTCGATAGCTCAAGCCGAAGCTTCGCACCAACTTCGGAGGTCCCAAAACGCATAGATAGTGTACACTAACATCGGCTAATCTGGGTCTGGATTTCTTCTGTAGCTCGAGGCCAAAGAATATGAGGGGGTTTTCTGTATAAGCTTCCCCAACCCAGATTGACTCGAACATGGTGATCATTTCTGTTTCATAGTCATATCTGTGAGCAACCGCATTTTACGCATCGTGAGAGACCAGACACAGGAATCAATATGGCCTCCCCCATTTTCATATACGGTCTTGTAGGTGCCGTGGCGGCTCTAACGGTGTATTGGCTGCTCCGGATTGGCAGACGGGATCCTCGAATGCCTCCGGGGCCTCCTACGGTCCCGATTCTCGGCAACATGCACATGATTCCAACCACCGGCCTCGGAAAGAAGTAAGAAAACTTGAATTACAAGGGTCAAGTTGTCGCTAACAATTCCCAGGTTCATGGAATGGTCTCTGCAGTACGGCAAAATCTTCTCTCTCAAGATTGGTTCTGGCAATATCATTGTGATCTGTGACCGCAAAGCCGTTCATGAGCTTCTCGATAAGAAGGGAAGCATCTACTCGGACCGGCCTCCAAACATCGTCCCGCTCTTCATCACGAGAGGCGATCATATGACCATGGAGTGTCAGAGTCCATCTTGGCGAGAAAAGAGAACTGTCGTGACGCGCAATTTGAACCCTAAGTCTTTGGATGAGAAGCATTTCAGGGTTCAAGAGACTGAGTAGGTAGTCTTGCACCTTGATGGAGTGAACGAGAGCTGACCTGGCGTTCTCTAGGGCTGTTATCTTGATGAACCGTCTCTTGGATGATCCTAGCAACTTCTACTCGTATTCGCGCCTTTACGCCTCTTCTGTGGCTGCTATTCTGGCCTGGGGCTTCCGAGCGACCACTCTGGATTCATTCTGGTACAAAGATGTCTCCGCCATGATTGAAAAGGTGAATCAGGCTTTTACTTCTCATCTCTGTATGTCTAACTCTGCTTATAGTGGCTCGAGGCGATCGAACCCGGTGCGACACCTCCCGTCGACCTAATTCCATGGCTCTGGTACATCCCCGGACAATGGAAGTCCCGCGTCTACAAGATGCGAGATCACATGGATAAAGTCTGGAGCCAAGCACGAGCAATGGTCGATGATCGACGAGCAAGAGGTGATCGTCGAGAGTGTATGATCGATATGAAGTTGGATGAGTATGAAAAGAACGGTTGGCCCATGTCGCAGCACGCCTTCAACAACCTTTTTGGCGAGTTGATGGAAGCAGGTGCTGATACCACGGCGAACCAAATTCTCACTTTGATCTTGGCTTTGGCGAAATATCCCAAGTTTCAGGAGAAAGCGAGAGTGGAGATTGATGCTGTTTGCGGTACGGAACGAGCGCCTGTTTTTTCGGATTTTGCGAAGATGCCTTATGTCAATGCTATCGTCAAGGAGGGTTTGCGATGGAGGCCAACGTAAGTTTACCTTGGAGTTGGTATTTTCTTTATCAGAGTGCTTACTAAACATTGGTATAGTTCCGATCTAGGATTGCCTCATACCGTTACCAAGGGTAAGTCTACTAGGTTGGACTGGACTGGAATGTTCGCGCAGTAACTAACCTTTTGATAGATGACTACTACGATGGAATGTTGATCCCTAAGGGAAGTACTATCTTCGTCGGAGTATGGGCTATGCATCACGACAAGGATTACTATGGCAGTCATGACACCTTCGACCCTGACCGCTATCTGTCTCATACAAAGCTAGCAAACGAATACACAGTAGGTCCAGATTATGAGAAACGAGATAAGTCCACCCCTCAATAATAACATATAGAGCAACTCGCTAACTTGTACCTTTACATCACTATGGGTATGGTGCTGGACGACGTATCTGCCCCGGAATCCATCTGGCCGAGCGCAGTATGTGGCGAATCACTGCGAAGCTACTGTGGGCGTTTGAATTCTCTGAACCAATCGATCCTGTGACCGGCAAAGTTAAACCGCTGGATCAAGATGCATATACATCGGCGAACTTGGTGTGTCCATTACCCTATAAAGTTAATATTAAGCCGCGAAGTGCAGCTCATGTTCAGGCTATCAAAAGAGAGCTTGAGAGTGCGGAAGCGTTTTTGTCTCAATACAACTAAGTAGGTACAACCATGGTCTGGTTGGGCATTAGAGTAACCATCTATAAATATGAATTTCTACTCACGACTTTCATTGTAATTTTATGTTGTGTGCTATCCCATGTTAGATATGCTGGTCCAGTTATTATGATATGTTGTCCCACATACAGCCAGCCATGGTCATGAAAAGCCCCACATAGATACAGGGTAAGTAATTCTAAGCCAGCGCCCGTTTAACCGAGCTATTACAACTGTTATTAAACTATATCATCAGGATTGCGGGGTAGAGGTCATCTACTCAACTAGACACTATCTGATTGGCTGCTTTGGAAAGGCCGAGCCTCTGTAATCCATGTACCCCGGATCTTCCGCTTGACCTTGTCGATCTGCTTCGGCAGATGAAGCGGTACCAGGTGCAGAGCAGAGCAGAGCCCAGACCGCATTTCTCTTTCTCAGGGGTTGGTTAGATGCCTCGCATGTGAGACAAAAACAATAGGTGAGAGATTGGTGTTTTCTTACCCCGCGACAACCCCAGATTTCGTCATTGTCGCGACTGCACCAGCGGAGCCGCAGCTTCAGAGCATTATTCATGGCCCTTGACATGTTTAGAGTGTTCCTTTTACCTCGCGGAATTGTTTAGGACTCGTGTTCCTTACCTGAGATCTCTATCCAATGCCAACTGCGCGTCTTTAGGACCATGAAAGGCTGCTCATACTGTCATCGAACGTTTCACAAAACAGAGCATCTTCTCCGCCACGAGCGCTCTCGTACGATCATCCCCACATGGAACCATTTCAATTGCCAAATTAACCCATGCTTAGATACAGGGGAGAAGCCATATCGATGCGATACATGCGGTCGCGGCTATGCACGGAGGTAAGAAGCCATCTCTAGTCTCTGTCACCACTGGTATTGACGGCCATAGCGATGTCCTCCTTCGCCACGTTAGATACTTTCACCCAAACAGCGACACTTCACAAAGAGAGCGCCGACGATCCGATGTCTCAGCGAACGAGAAGAGCCGACAGCGCCGACAAAGTGTCCTGGCCGATTCCATAAACGTGTGTTCAATACCTCCGCCGGAGCCGGAAGAAGGTTCAGAAGGCGAGACAAATCAGCAAGAAAATAATCCTGTGCGCGATAATGGGCAGCCGCAACACCAGGAGGATAGTTCTATAACTGTCGATCATTCGATGGCGCAGTTTTCAACATCTGATCTTGATGCGTTGGCTACGGTATCAATGCTCCAAGCTCTCCACGAACAACCGAACGAATCGACGAAGCTGGGTCTGGAAGACTCTTTCGATGATCGACGACCGTCGAATAGCTCCCCTGCTATTGGCCAGCATGATAATGAACTATCGCCGATGAGCTTCTCGCATCATTTGGTAGAGACAACACTGGAGACAGCGACTCCTACCTTATTCACCGCCAATGCCGAATTTCTCAGTCCTGGAGTATCGTTGAGTACAAGGGCAAATGTATTTCATTCTCACACTGCTACCTCGGCAGCCCCTTGGGGAAATAACGAGGCAGCCCTCGCGTCAATGAGCAACACAGATTTGTTGCATTATGCTGGTGCTTTGGAATTCTTACAACCGAACCTTAGCCATCTAGACTTTCTTGACTTTGGTCTCGGCGAGACTTCACCCGGCGTCCGTGGTTCGCAGGCCTCGAGCAACAGCGTCGACCCTGTCAGCAGCATTCCGCTGGAGCGCTTCGCCAGGGTAGCTGCGTTATGGCCACGGAATCGAACGCACTCAGCAAGTCAGATTGCTTCCAAAGTCTGGGCGGACGTGGTGAATTACCGGGGTGACGGTATTTTTACAGATGTCTCTATTTCGCAGTCTTCACCAAGCTCTACCATCGGTACCGAGAATGAATCGCGATGGGGAATGGATGAAGAAAAGCGACAGGACCTCATCCGAGAGTTCGGTTCGCTTGGTTCTAGCGTTGACTTTCTACCAGCGCGACTACTAAACCTCGGTCTCACTATTGCCTTTCGACAACCTCACTCTCTCGTGCCGTTTATACACCAACCCACCTTCTCAGCAAAGTCAGCATCTAACTCAGTCGTCTTCTCCTTGTGTCTCCTGGGATTAGCCATTCTAGACTCTTCATATGTGAAGCCTTTCACAGCACACTACTTGCCTGTAATCTCACTGCCGTCCGTGTCCGAATGAAGGACCATACTGACTATGTACAGGCAGCTACCGAGAAGTGCTGTTCTCAATTAGCGACACCATCCTTCGGCCCAGAAGGGTCGGCGCAGCTTGTTGAGCGCCTCGCTTCGGCGGCCCTGCTACTGATGGCCTGGTCAATAAGCTCACCCCACGTAAACCCCCTCTGATACTCGGATCTGGGGATCAAATGCTGAGACTGATCATAGGGTGCTCGCGATGCTTTCTTATCCAGGATGCTTTACAACCAGACCATGAACGTACGTTTAAGCTGTCCTGCTTCCCCTTCTTGGTAAGCTGACAAAACGATGCACTTATAGCTCGTGAAAATGTCGGGGTTACTGATGCCACGACCTTCATCATTCAGCATCGACACTTTACTAAGTCAGGCGAATTCCGCCAGACTTGTCCATGACCCAGCGCAAAGCGATGACTGGGCGTGGAAGGCGTGGGCTCGAACCGAAAGCTTCAAGAGGTATGCTGCCCTTGGTATCTTAGATCTGCAAATGCTGACCATGACGATTGCTTCAAGATTAATATCGACGCTGATCATGATCGATGCATGGTGGGCGTCAAGACTAAACACAGAGCCACTCATCTGCACTCCCGTGGTGCAGTTGGAGATGTCGACGTCGATCGACCTGTATCGCTCCTCGTCAGCAAGGTCGTGGAGGAGCTGTCGCAATGCTGGCACAAGTGCAACTACAGAACCTGTTATAATACGAATGCACACTCCATCCATCACATTGACGCCACTTCAAGAAACGTCGCCGATTGGAATGACTGGCCTGCTCTCTGTTGTCTGGGCTCGCATTCTCCAGCATCAACATCAAACGAGAGGAGCAAATGACAGCAATAGAGAGAGGCCTACCGCAAGTGTGGATGCATCGACTGAGACTGGTAACAACACGTTACGTGTGCTGGGCGACATCTACACAAACTACTCGAGGTTTCTTCGGTATAGAAACCCCAACTGTATCGCGCAGTGGCACTTCTTGAACCTCAACGTACTGGCCAATCTTGAGATCTTCGAAATGGCCTCTGGTCGGAACGGAGCTGAGAGCGCATACGCTGCCTTACAAGAGATCTCCAACTGGAGTCAGACCCAATATGCAAGACGTGCCTGTCTTCACGCCGCGGGTATCTACGTCGCCATGAGTCGTCGAAGAGCAAACGACGGCGTTATGCTGCATTCCGATATGTCTTTATTCACAGCTGCGCTTGTCCTAGGACTCTACGTCTTTATGATGAAGCCGAACGAAGGACATACTGATGCTGACACAGAGTCATTTGAGTTACTCAACGACATGGACTGGACTAACCTATGTGATCCAATGTCTATAGTAGAGAATGCTGGGGATAACACCGCCAGTCAGTTTATACATAATGGAGGAAGTATTAGCTTCTCTGGAACAGTGTGTGAAGCGGGATATAATGCTGCCAAGATGATCTTGCTCGAGTTTGCGAGCTTACTAGAGGAGGTTGGGAAGTGGAATGCGAAAGAACTGTGTCATATTCTACGGATCATGAGTGACTCTTTGATCGAAGTCGACGACCGTTTGGGTGGTGATTGAAGCGAGCTCGCACTTGGAACGCTGGCGGTTTTGCATGTACAATCACTCAAGCACATAAAGAGGTTTGTTATCGGACAGGATACCATTCAAACGTGAGAGCCTATAGCGCTATTAAACACAAATACACGGCATTGCTTTGCTCAAGATAAATCCACAAAGTTGTTCTAATTCCAAACCGCTGCATCGACTGCACTAATCTTTGCATGGCCATTAGTCTCGTGAGGCAGGACTTGCGTAGGCTGGCCCTTGGCATCGAGCAATTGAACAGAATGATAGTAGTCAACCGCCTTCTTCTGGTTAAACTTATCCTTTGCAACACGCTCAAGAAGCTGTTTGGTCAAAGGATGTGCTGAGAAACGATCGGGAAGATTATCCCAAACTCGGTAATCCGTGGCTTGTTTGTGAAGAACACCACAGATCTCTCGAGCATACTCTGTGAACAGGAATGTACGTGACGATTCAACCATGATCGTCATTTGGTCTGCTTTCAGGTCAGCACTGCTACCATAGCACACTATAGAATATGGGAATTAACTCACTTTCCAAGATTCTGCGTGGTTCATTGTGCTGCAAGATAGCTTCCGTGATATACTCCTCACCAAACCCCCCGTGGGGAGTATGTCCACCCTCGTAGCTACAACCACCGGGCAAGAAGTCATCGGACCGACCGAGACCTGCCCCGTAAATACAAGCTAACATCTCAGTCGCGCTGTTTCGATGATAGTAAGGTGCGCGCAACGAGTTGCTCGCTACGTCCCAGCGGGGACCAAACCATAGATAGTCAGCGAGCGGAACGTGGGGATCGAATGATTTAGCTGTCAGAACAGTGTTGATGCTGGGATCTGTGTGATCAATACTGGTACTGTTCTGAGACGCAAACTTTGTCAAATCGTACTATGATACATGTAGTTAGTACGTGTCTTTGTCTTGCTAGCATCGCTGTATTGGTAGCTCACCTTATAGGGAACTGCATTCCCATGCCAGGCAACAACGTCAAATGGACTATGATCCTGACTGATGGCAACATGCTTTCCGTTATTCTTAACGACAATTTTAAAAGGAACATGTAGATCCTCGTCGATATGAGCAACAGGATATAGAAAGTCTCGTGGGTTTGCCAGGCCATGTCCTCCGATGGGTCCCAAGTCAGGCAGCTCCCACATAGATCCCCAGACTTCAGCGATATGGCCACGAGCAACAGGAACACCGTCTGCAAGATTGATGCGGAAGCGCACACCACGCTGGATAACGCAAATCTCACCTGGCTGTACGAAGAGACGACCCATCTCGGTTTGGATGTCTATGATGCCGAGTTGAGGAGTGATGAGAAAGTCGCCGTCAGTGTTGCAATATGCCTTGTTGATCATAGAAGCATTGATCATGTAAACATACACAGCGATGCCCTGACGAAGATTGGGATCGCCACTTCCAGCAAGTGTATGTAACCCATCCGTAAAGTCAATCGTTTCATCATCCTTCGGCAGTGGAAAAGGCGACCACTCGGCCTGCTGGTACAAAGGCTCAACCCTGGGATTTAACGACAAAAAGCAGTTCTCGATATGAGACTTTGTCTCAATACTAGAATATCCCTGATGAGCAGCTGATGGTCGAGCACGATACATGTAAGTGCTCATGTTGAGGCCGCGAGGAGCTGCGAAAGCAGAGTAGGTGATACCCTCAGTGTACAGACCAAAACCTCTGTCTTGAGGGTTGTTTTGGCCGGCGGGGAGAGTGCCGGGGATGGCCTCTGATTGATGGCGGTTACCCCAGCCTGCTTGGTACTCATAGGGGTCATTCTCGCGGGTAGGTTTGGTGCGCTGGAGGTCTGTGTAGTGGAAGACTTTCTGGGGATCTGTGGCGGGCTCACGTCTCTTGATAGCGGCGACCATGCTGATGTTTGATGTGTAATTCTTCTTGGGGGTTTGATGTGATTGTTCAAGTTGAGGATGTTTTGGATCTAATCTAATGGTTCATTTTCCTTTTATTCTCTGGGCGTATTAGTAGAGAGATTCTGTAAGTCCCATGTTTATTACCGAACGGCAGATGCACAAATGGGCCAGTAAGTGGGAGACCTGACGTCGCATGTGGGGATATGGAGCTCCCACATAATGAGACCTTTCAGAGGCATCATTCTTACCCCTCAACCTTGAGATAACTCGTATGTTTAAATTAATTTACAACGTGTGGGACTACCAATTGATATCAAATTACGGTATTTGCCTGATTACTGCGCCTAGAGTACTATCATTGAGTTTCCTTTCTACTGCCAATCATGCTGCGCACACGCCAATCTTGCAGGGTGCTCACCCAACTAACTCAAGCTCATCCACACCGCTGGAATGCGCGTATACAGCTGACAACGCTTGTTCAGCGTCGCGCAATTGGTTCAGTCAGCGCAATTGACTCTGTGATATTCCGGAACTTGTTTGGTACCGACGAGATTCGCAATGCAAGTCACCGTACCAACCCTCTCATTCCAACAATTGACTAACTTCCTCTACAGGTCTTTAGCGACCAAGCCTACATCGACAGATGCGTCGACGTTGAAGCTGCTCTAGCACGAGCTCAAGCCCAATGCAATGTCATTCCCTCCGACGCCGCAGCCGACATCACCTCCAAAGCCAATGCCACCAGTCTCGACATGGATCGGCTGCGTAACGAGACGGATGTCGTGGGCTATCCCATACTCCCTCTTGTACGTCAGTTGAATGACATGTGCGGCTCTGCTGGAAAGTATCTGCACTGGGGTGCTACAACACAAGATATTATGGATACCGCAAGCGTCTTACAGATCAAGTCTGGTCTCGATATCGTTGGGACCAAGTTGGCAGGCGTTATAAATGCCTTGCAAGACCTGGCTGTTACCTATCGTGATACGCCAATGGCTGGAAGGACGCATCTCCAGCATGCTCTGCCTGTCACCTTTGGCTACAAATGCGCTGTGTGGCTATCAAGTCTGTATCGCCACAGGGAACGCCTTCAGCAGCTCAAGAGTCGTGCTCTTGTCGTTCAGTATGGAGGGGCAGCGGGGACTTTGGCATCCCTCGGTGATGGCCCAGCGGGCGTCAATGTGAGGAAGCAACTCGCTGCGGAACTCGGCCTGCAAAACCCTACAATTACCTGGCATGTAGCCCGTGATGGTATTGCTGAAGTGGCCAACTTCCTCGCCCTCATCGGCGGCTCCCTCGGTAAAATTGCCCTGGACCTAATCATCATGTCCTCCAACGAGCTCGGCGAAGTCGCTGAACCCTTCGTCCCCCACCGCGGCGCTTCCTCCACAATGCCCCAAAAGCGCAATCCCATCTCCAGCGAGGTCATCCTCGCCGCCTCCAAAATCCTACGCTCCAACGCCAGTCTCGTTCTTGACGGCATGGTGTCCGACTTTGAGCGTGCATCAGGACCTTGGCATCTAGAATGGGTAGCCATACCTGAAAGCTTCGTCATAGCAGTTGGAGCCCTTCACCAAGCTGAGTTTGCGCTTGCTGGCCTTGTTGTGGACAAGGAGCGTATGGCGGCTAATCTCGCTTCTACAAGGGGACTTATTGTTGGTGAGGCGTTGATGATGGCGTTGGCTAAGTATGTTGGAAGACAGGATGCTCACGATATTGTGTATGAGGCTTGTAAGGTGACCATTGAGAGTAAGGATGGAAGTACGTTGCTTGATACACTGAAGAAGGATGAGAGGGTGACTCAGCATCTGCCTATGAGTGATCTGGAGAGGCTCTGTGATCCTATTAATTATTTGGGGTCGGCGCAGCGCATGGTTGATGATACGCTAGCCGAGAACGCTTCATAAAGTGTCAGTGTATGCATATCAATAGATTTTCAGTACCAATATTATGGATTTGATCTTCAATAACGAAAAGGCAACGATTTTACAAATAACATGCTCATTGTTCCTTTCAAAGCTATGTCTGGTACGGTATCAAGTCATCGGCGATCCTGAATGCCGCACCCGTTTTGCTCTTGAGCTCGTCCAACTCAACCTCATCCACCAGCTCCCTAAGCACCAGACCCTCAGGTGTGCAATCGAAAACGGCCAAGTCGGTGATTATTCTGGATACACATCGAGGACCGGTGAGCGGAAATGTGCATTCTATCCGTGGGCGTCAGCAACTCTGGCTTGTTCATCGCAGACTCCGACTTACCTTCCAGGATCTTTGGGTTTCCATTGCGGTCAACATGTTCCTAGATGTGTGAGTCTGTCGCTCAAATTTGATCCAGAATAATAAGTGACATACCATGGTGATTATGACTTTGGTCTTCTCTGGGCTGGCGACTAGGTCCATGGCACCTCCGATACCCTTCACCTTTCCAGGTAGCATGAAATTGGCCAGGTCTTCACGCGTCAGTGCCACTCACAGGAAAGCATAGGATCTGAGAAGTTACCTCCATATTGGCTGACTTGCAGTGCACCAAGCATGGTCAAGTCAATCTTTCCAGCTCTGATCATACCGAAGCTCTCATGACTCCCGAAAGTTGACGCCCCAGGGTTCAATGTTACGGTTTCTTTGCCGGGATTGATGAGGTCTGGATCCTCTTCCCCAGGGTTTGGGTATCTGCCCATTCCTAGGATGCCATTTTCCGATTGTAGAATGACTTCCAAGTCTTCTGGAAGCATGCCTGGTGTTGCGAGCGGCATGCCGATCCCTAGGTTGACATACATACCGTCTTTCAGCTCTTTTGAAGCTCGCTTGATGATGCGTTCTCGTCTTTGGTTGGCGTTTGTAACTGTAATCCTCAGTATTAGTCTAGAGAGCAGACGGGGTTTCACTTACCTTTACCTTCACTCTTGGCATCCTGAGCAAACGTCAACTTCTCAATCTTCTTCGGCCTCGTACTCTGGATGATAACATCGACATAAATTCCTTGAATATGAACACTCTCGGGATTCAACTGCCCAACATCAACGATCTCGTCAGCCTCAACAATCGTCAACTTTGCATTCTTCGCCATCGCTTCATTGAAGTTGTTCTGTGCTTTCCGGAATGTACAATTGCCCAGCCTATCGGCCTTGTGAACTTTGACCAAAGCAACGTCGGCAAATATGGCTTCTTCGAGTATGTATTTCTTGCCGTGAAACTCACGCGTTTCTCGAGGTCGTGACATGAGCGCTACGGAGCCATCTCTGTTGTACCGGACAGGTAATTCGCCAGTCTGTACTGGATAGACAAAGATTTCAGCAGCTCGCCACTAAGCAGTGTTTGATAGACTTACCAACAGTGCCATAGGCAGCTGGAGTATAGAACGCTGGTACACCAGCTGCCCCAGAAGCGCACCTCTCCGCCATCGTTCCCTGCGGTATCAACTCGAGGCTAAGATCTCCGCTGAGATACATTTTCTCAAAGACCTTGTTCTCTCCGATATAAGATGCTATCATCTTACTGATCTGTCGGGTTTCCAGCAATCGGCCTGCCGGTGTTAGCTTGGTGATCAGCAGTGTTAGCAGTGCACGTACCAAGTCCGACACCAGGCATGCCCGCATTATTTGAGACAACGGTCAGATCTTTGAGATCCTTGCGCGCGGCAATAGCTTCGATGAGTGATTCGGGGACACCAGAAAAGCCAAAGCCTCCGACCAGAACAGTCGATCCACTTTTGACTTTTTTGATGGCATCGTTTTCGGAGGCACAGATCTTGTTGATCCTTCGTAAGGCGGTGGAGGTTGAGAAGCTACGTTGCGCAAGGGTCCATAGGCGGGTAGGAGCCTGTGCACGGAACGTTGAGCTCATCATGGTTCTCGGTTCAAGGAAACAAGTCCAACGGTCGTATGAAGTGTATGTATCGAAATGTCAAGTTCAGTTTGTGTGCCGCAGGATTGAGCTTACAGTAGGTAAAAGTGGTATACAACCTTTGTCTCTCTCATGAGTCAATTGCCCTGTTGTAAATGAAGGTTCCCATCATGGACAAGGGTATAGTAGCGTCACTGCGTAAACCCCACATGCGAAATATTGACTGCTGCCGTATGTGGGACTTTAGCACCAGAAGTGCCGAGGCGAAATGCTTATACATCCAAAGAACAGTATACGGTTACTTTTATACACATCGACTCAGCTTCGATATTTCGCCAATTCGACGCCTTGTGGATATTGAAGTGAGTGTTATGCCTTCACCGCCATGTTGACCATGCGAAGAACACTTGTTGCCCCGCTTTGGCGCTCGGCTTTGAGCAGAAGATGCAATGCGACAGCGGCCACCCCAAGATTGCCTCTGACGGGGATCAGAGTCTTGGACATATCTAGAGTCCTCGCTGGTGTAAGTATTGCAGTTGTACGAAGCATCTGAGCTCGCGCTAACACCAGAAAGCCATATTGCGCTCAAATTCTTGGTGATCTAGGGTTCGTAGCAAATAGCTTGTCGAATACATCCCATTTCTAACGTTTCGATAGAGCCGAAGTCATCAAGATCGAACATCCAACAAGAGGCGATGATACGAGAGCATGGGGGCCTCCATTTGCACCTTATAAAGATGGACGAGGCGGCGAGGGCGAAAGTGCGTATTATTTATCGGTAAGTGTTGCGCTGTCAGACGAGAACTCTATGCTTATCACGCTGTGTAAAGGTGAACCGAAATAAGAGATCTGTAGCAGTTTCATTCAAGGAAAAAGAAGGTGCAAAATTGATCCAAACGCTCGCTGCCAAAGCCGATGTCATCGTCGAGAACTACCTGCCCGGAACTTTGAAGAAATACGGCCTCGACTACAATACCCTTTCCAAGACTAACCCCCGACTTATCTACGCGAGCATAACTGGATATGGTCAGACAGGTCCTTACAGTAGTCGGGCAGGTTTTGATGTCATGGTCGAAGCTGAAATGGGTCTGATGCACATCACGGGTCCACGCGATGGACCACCGGTCAAAGTCGGTGTTGCGGTGACTGACCTAACTACTGGGTTATATGCAGTCAATAGCATTCTTGCAGCTGTTATTGAGAGGAGTCACTCTGGGCAAGGACAGGCGTTGGATGTGTGCCTGAGCGATTGTCAAGTTGCGACCCTAGCAAACATGGCGCAATCTGTGTTAGTGACTGGGAAGAGAGATGGTGGACGATACGGAACATCACATCGTGAGTCGCTCCCCATAAAGTGATCTATACTTGAACTGACGAGAGCGCTTAGCATCCGTCGTACCATACCGCGCATTCCGCACCAAAGACGGCGACATCTTGATTGGCGGGGCCAATGACCGACTTTTCGGCGTTTTGTGCAAATGTCTTGGTCAAGACGATTGGGCAACGGACGAACACTTCTCTACAAACTCAGCGCGAGTAGCGAATAGAGATGTACTCGAGCGTATGATCGAAGATATTACGAGTTCTAAGCTATCGAAAGAATGGCTCGATATCTTTGAGGGTACCGGTCTGGCATATGCCAAGATCAACGATATCAAGGACACACTGGAGCACTCACACGGTAAGTGGCACTCATCAAATAGGGATAATTAGCTGACGATGGCGACGTAGTGGTGGCGAGGGATATGATAAAAGAGATTGAACATCCTGCATGTGGCCAGCTGAAGGTGCTTAACAGCCCTGTCAAGTACTCCAGAACCCAACCTTCGATCAGGACGCCGCCACCTTTACTGGGTGAGCATACAAATGAGGTATTGAGAGACGTACTGGGGTTGGACACAGCTGAGATCGAAAGGCTAAGAGACAAGAAGGCCGTCGGTGGATGATTAGAATTTGTACACACTAGTACAGCAATAATTGTTTATCATTTGCATTCAACACTCTGTCTGTCACAGTTACAATCATCTACATGAACCTAGTAGGTACAAGGTGCGAACAAAGTAATTGCATGGCAGATGAAATGTCTTATTGAACTACTCCATGATTATGGCGGATGCAACGCCTATTCCAGTACTAAACAGCCTGTTAGCATCCACTCAATCAAGGCAATATGGACGGTCTTACCTAGCACACATACTAATGACACCAATCTCTTCCCCCCTTCTCCCAAGCTCAGCAATCAGCGTCGCAAGCTGTCTCGTTCCAGTCGCTCCAGTCGGATGTCCAAGAGCGATAGCACCACCATTGGGATTAACCCTATCAACATCCAAGCCAAGTTTATTAATACAAGCGAGAGTCTGGCTTGCAAATGCTTCATTGACTTCAATAACATCAACGTCTTTCTGCTCTATACCAACATGTTCATACAGTCGTGGAATGGCATAGACAGGCCCCATGCCCATTTCATCAGGTTCGCAGCCTGCGACTTGAGTTCCGAGGAATCGAGCTATGGGTTTCAAGCCGCGCTCGGTTGCCCATGAGCGACGGGCGAGGATGGCTGCTGATGCGCCGTCGGATATCTGGGACCTGCAGGTGATTAGTAAAGCTAAGAATATGTAGGCTGCACGATACTCACGAGTTTCCAGCAGTGCTGCCACCGTCCTCTAGAAATGCTGGCTTGAGTTTGGCCAACTTCTCCAGAGTCACATTTGGCCGGATAGTGTCATCTGCAGCGACTCGAACTCGCGAAGCCTCACCGGTTTCGTTATCATACGCCGTGTACTCAATCAGCACTATCTCCGCATCAAATCCACCAGATTCAAGTGCCTCATTCGCACGAGTATGACTCAAAAGAGCATACTCATCCTGCATCTTACGATCAACTCCATATCTCCTGGCAACATTCTCCGACGTAATACCCATTGGCATGAGACAGTCGGCAGCTGCTTTAACATTTGTGTTACGCAGAGCTGGACCCACGTCTTGGGGTATTCCGCGAGACTGATAGTTCTTCGACATGCTTTCGACGCCTCCAGCGAGAGCGACATCGATCTGACCCGCTTGGATTGCATGCGCCATGTGAGTTAGAGCTTGCAGACTACTCGAGCACTGACGATTGACCGTGTGGAATGTCGTTGATGTTGGGAACCCAGCGTGCAAGAGGGCCATTCTACCAGTTTTGGCAAAACCTAGCTCTGCGAGCACATTCCCTATCAGAACATCTTGGACGTCTCCCGTTTCGATCTTGGCCCGCAGTGCCGCCTCGGCCATAACCTAGAGAGTATATCAGAGCCACAACGCCTGCGATAATATATGATGAGATCAACTTACCGGCGCCAAAATGTCCTCTGGCCACGCATCTTTGAAACCGCCTTTGAATGCTCGTGTAATGGGACTGCGAACAGCTGATAAGATGACTATATCACTGGGTGACTTTGTCGACAGAGCTTTCAAATGTCTTGTAAAACTAGCCATTGTTTTTTTCCTCTCTCCTCTTTGGGTACATTCAACTGCAACAATGCTCTCTCCCGATAACACTCAGATCCATGGCCTTGGTGATGCTTCGCTTCGCAACTTGGGCGCTATCCCTGTTCTGGCGTCCCACATCATGTCTACAGCAGTCTATATCCGTAATTCCGTACGTGGAGCTCCCCATGTTGATGTGGAGAGGAGTTCACACGCGTCACGCGCGTTTCATGTGGGGGAAGTGGACCGTGTTTGCCATGCCTGTGCTAAGCTCACTTCAGCGAGAGGGGATCTCTACCCTACCCTGTATTCTTGTCCTTGATTCAGTTTTTGCACACTGAGCAGCTTTCCACGGTGCCAGACACCATAATTGCAAACAATCATGAGTTTCGCGTTCGGAAAAGAAGTATGCTATCCAGCCTACGAAGGTCGAGAGACGCCCAAAGTCTCATACGGGCTCAAATTCCCCGAGGCCTGCTTACGTCACTGTCGCGATACTTTTTCCAGTTCCAGGGTGTATGTGATTTGTTCCAAATCTCTAGCCCAAAATACCGACGCACTTGATCGGCTTCGCTCAACACTTGGCAGTAGAATTGTGGGAATTCGCACTGGAATCAGTCCGCATACGCCGATTGTGCAAGTTCTCGAAGTCGTCAATGATGCTTCAAACCTCAACATTGACTGCCTCGTGACATTGGGCGCTGGCAGCCTAACGGATGCCGCCAAATTGGTGAGGCTCGCTTTAGCCAACTCAGTCACATCGGAGAAGGAAATGGACACTCTGTGGGGAACACCAAAGAGCAATTCTGCGTTGCGAAACAACATATCCAAACCTACCATTCCTTTAATCCATATCCCGACATCACTGTCAGGTGGCGAGTTTCAAGCCATCGCCGGAGGAACAGAATCCCAAGGCCACGCAAAGAGAACCTTTCACTGCGAGGGCGTCGACCCAGAACTTGTCATCCAAGATCCAGAGCTGTGCCTTACAACTCCCGAGTGGGTTTGGCTTAGCACAGGTATCCGCGCTGTTGACCATTGCGTCGAAACGCTCTGCTCGCTTGTCTCAAACGACAAAGCTGATGAATGGTCTAAAAAGGGTCTTGTGAAACTTGTAAGTGGTCTGTTGGCTAGCAAGGCGGATCCAAAGTCTCTACAAGCGCGACATCTATGCCATCAGGGTGTTGTCTCGTCGATGGGTGCCGTGTCAAGTGGTGTGCCACTCGGTGCGAGTCATGCTATTGGACATCAACTTGGGCCTCTTGGCGTTGGTCACGGTGAAACGAGCTGTATACTCTTACCTGCTGTGTGCAGATTCAATTATGATAGAAAGGCAAATGTTGAGAGACAGGAAGTTGTAAGGCACTTGTTGCTGCAACAGGATGAGGTTCGGCAACTGTTGCAGGCGAAAGGTTTAGATAAGAGCGCGGTAAGCTTGGCCGACATCTTGGACGTGTTTATTTCTGCCCTGGGTATGCCTCGATCCCTTGAAGAAGTGGGAGTAGGGGAGGATAAGCTTGAGGTCCTTGCCCGGAACAGTCTGGACGATATATGGATCCAAACAAATGCATTCCCCATCACGGAGGCTAGTCAGGTCATGGAGATACTCAGCATGTGCGTCAAAAGACGATAGGACTTGTATTTAAAGAATGACATGCTTTCTAATACTGCCTATTGGTGAAATACTCATACTTGCCCGCCAACCGAACCCGGAACATACGACCCCAGATCACCATCGGTACACAGGTCAAAGCAATGGCAGTAGAAATGCAGCCCAAGACCACGTACATGTTGTACACGCCCATACCTTCCATCCAGGGTGTGACGGCAAAAACTAGGCCGGTCGCAATGACATTACGAACAAAAACAACGCCTGTCAGAGCAGGTCCGATGATCTTTGCGAGAAGGTTAGTCGATGGCAGGACGATTGGAGTTGGAATAGCTTACATGCTCGTGAGAATCTTGAAGGAATGTGAGGGACATGTCTCCGCCACCTCCGATGGCGAAACCAATGAATCCTGAGCCTACAGCGTTGATGATCCAAGGCATTCCCTACAGACTGTCAGTATGTTCAGATTGTTGAATGTTGGATAGAACTTACCTTGGCAATGGTGAGCCCATACATGAGACATCCGATCGTCATGCATAATCCAGGAACCAGGAAGAGCCAGAGTCGTGTCTCGGGCTCATAAATACCTCCACGACGTTTGGCAATCTGCACAATCGACCAATCCACGAGTGGCCCTCCAAATAGAGCTCCCAGAATGGCACCGATGAACGGAGGAATATTCATGTTTCCGACACCAGCTGTTGTGAAATTATAAGGCGGAATGGAGTACAGTGAACTTTGTGTTACTGCTAAAATGGCGAGCATGGCAATACTCCAACCATACTGTAACGCAGCGAACATGACGGCAGGGAATGTTGCAAGGAGCTGGAAAGGTTCGTATATGTCTCTCCAGAACGTTCGCTTCTGAGTGGACTCGTGCTTATCCAATGTCAAGAGTGCATGGCGCTTCCAGTAAGAGTTCATGGGAATGCTGTGATCTATCTCGGCGGTATCGCTCTGCTGGTCCATAGAGTCGATACTGGTAGGTGCATCGTTTGGTAAGGGTGCCTTTCCGGTGCTGTCAACCTTGGAGAACTCGTTATCGGTGGGGGAGGATGCGGTGACTCTGGGGTTGTGGCCGTTGAGTGGTGCGGGGATGTATTTGGTTTCTTCGAGGAAGAAGAACATGAGGACGGTGACGATGCCCGTGAAAACGGTGGCGGACCAGCATGCCCATCGCCAACCCATTGTCACAGCAACTTGGCCGCCATAGACAGGTCCAAGGTAATTCTGTATCTGTTAGAGAGTGACAGCAGTGAAGGGACCCTATAATTGCTCACCCCTACTAGGACCATCCCAAAGTAGATACCATTCATTGTTCCACGTTGATGGACGAAGAAGAGTTCTGTTACCTACCATACCGATAAGCATGAGTTCGCGTTAGTTCCAGCTAAATAGAAACTTACCGTGACTTGAAACAGAGCCTCATTGACAGCTCCAGCGATGCCTGCGATAGTATTCATACCAATCATATCCCCAACAGTGTGCGTCTCAGCTTGCCACGCCCCAGCACCAAACATGATCAACGACGTAACAAGATATACTGGTCGACGGCCGATGCGCAGGGCAATAGGGATGAAGATGATGCAGCCGGTCGCAAGACCTGCCATGTTTGCTGCGTATCCATTGTTCAGCATGTCATAGCTCATGCCGAGCTCTTCGTTGAAGTTCTGCCAGAATGGGACGCTCATGCAGGGACTTGAAGGACGTTGGTTAGCGTTTGGGGGATAGAGAGAGGCTGAAGACGTACATGCAAAACATCATCATTGAGTAAAGAGAAAGAAGGACCATATGGAGAGTTTTGCGCATTGTACTCCAGTTCTAAAAACGTTAGAGTAGATCATTTGTTAGATGGGGGTTTCCATACCAGAGGCTGATTGGGATCTGAAGTTGGCCGAGGAGCCAGCACGATATGAGTAGCTTGCAAGTCATTGATGCGCTGCGTGCCCGGAGGCAAGACATCAATCGTTAAAGTGCTCTCTTCAGGCGGCATGATTAAGGATCGAGCCTAGGGTGAAGGAAAAAGGCTGACACAGCTACCGATGGACCTGCAGGCGGTATTAATACTCCTTGGTTATGGTAGCAATTGCGCCACTGAGGTAGATGAACCTTGCAAGATATTTGACTTCAGAGATGCTGGCCTACGATAGGGGACTTATTATTTAAGCCTTTAAGGTATAAGTTAAAAGCTTAATGGCCTTATATAAGGCTGATGGTAAGGGCCAAAAAAAAAAGGTGAAAGATCAGTAAATGAAAGTATCTAAATCGCCAAGACTAACGGGACATAGAGACATATTAAATATCCAACCCATTCTCGTATCTCGACTAGTTGACGGCGAATGCGGGGTTGGCCGACACTAACTTAGTAGACAAACGCTTGAAGATAAGCTTCCAGCCGACGGTCGCAGAATTCCGACCTCGCTGATACCACATGAACCAATCATCACTCAGGGAACAAGCAGGCATCGGCTCCCGGCTGAGCGATCGAGCTATGCTGGAATAGGCTGGTCGAGCCCATGATAATGAATGACGATGCTACTGGTTCTAGACCTTGCGGCGCCTGCGACAATCAGTGCCGCAAGCGGTATCGCGGCATTCTTGGTCACTTTTGTTTCCCTTTTTGGAATGGAGATGACATTGGGGGATGCATTGTATAAAAAGGGTAGTTGTTTGGAGACGATGGTCTTTATCGCAAACTATCAGGTCAACAACTTGCATACGTCTTGGAGCTGTTGATGTCAGTGCTACTATGTGACTTGCGTGTGACACTTGGACATACCCTTGATACCGTTGTGTGTCGACTTTCGTACCCTGTCATGCAGTCGTTTCAATACTGTAATCTAACGGGCTATGTTTATTGGTGGGCATGATATGAGCTCATCAACTCGCTGTGCCTTTGAGATGATCAGAAATCAGGGTTTTATCCCTGTCTATCTAAGACTCGTTGCCAAAGTCGAGCATATCCTCAATTCTTCCCTGTCTCTGAATCCCCCCCTGCGAAAGAAGGACCACGCTCACTTCCGGGTTATGACCTGCCGTCTGAGCGATGTCCTTCAAGCCAGACAAACGGTGGGTAATCTCGATCACAGTATGTCCGTTATCAGTAAATGCCTCTTTTACAACACGCCGCATAGTTGACTCTGTCAGCCCATCAACCGATGATGTCGCCTCGTCCAGAAGCAGAATGGGCTTTGTTCCGGTGATTGAACAATGCTCTGCTCGTAGGAGGGCTCTGGTTAAGGCAAATAACTGAGTCTGGCCAGTTGACATGTGAGGCAACGAACTGAGAGGACTGTCCAGGATATCTGCCAGCTTTGCCTGCACATGAGTGTCGAAATGTCCACAGAGCCCAGTTCGTTCAAGTGACTTCAGGATTACAATGTCGGAAAGAGTCTCCGAAGGCTATAGAGAGAAAGTTAAGGTAATTCGTTAATGTAAGTTCGCCCGCAGGTTTCCCGCGCGATTGTGTACTCACATCCAAATTAAACCGAAGGCTGGCCTGTGCGAGCAGAAATGGATCTTGCGTAACAATAATGAAGCATCGTTCTCGTATAGTTGACAGTGGAACCTGACTTAAGTCGATGCCATCAACTTCGATAGATCCCGATTGGGTGTCGAGAAGGCGGAGAAACGCGAGGAGGAGAGTGCTCTTCCCACTAAGAAAGCCTGTCAGCAGCATCCCCAAAGGATAGAAACGGGTTGCAAATAGAGGACGTACCTGCCAGTCCTACCGCAGATTACCAAATGTTGACCGGGCTCAATGGATAGGTTGATGTTCTTCAATGCAGGCACGTGCGTCTCTTCGTAAGAGACCATAAGGTCATGGACCTGATGCGCACCACGTGAGGGCCAAGTCTCAGGGACTACTCCTCCGCATACTGGCTGCTCTTCTGCTACTGTCTCTTCTTCCAGCGTCTTCAAACGAGATCTGCAACGGTGATTCAGTAAGAAAAGGCCAGCAACATAATGAGAGCTTGTTGTTGGTCCGACAAAGCTGTGAAATTGGACTTACATAGCACCTAGAGATATCTCCCAATTCGTCCAAGATGTGACAAGTGCTAAGAGCGTCGAGTTGGCAACAAGGACAACGTTCAAAGACATGCCGATCTGTCCGGCCGTTGTGCTTCCCTCTAAGAATACTGCTAAAGCGATTAAAATCACTGCTATAGAGGCAATAACTAAGTCTAGAACAATGTTGAGCCAGATCTGTAAACACAGAAGGATGTAGGCTGGTTGCTGGGACTTATCTAGACAGTTCATGTTAGTACTCTCTGCTTGCTTCACCCAGCCAAACGAGCGGATGCTAACGACACCCTCGACCTGTGAATAGAGGAGACAATGAGCCGTGTTTCATAGAATGCAGTTAATAGTACTAACGGATTCAAGGAAGCTTGAGTAAACAGCAGACTGTGATTCCAGTTGAAGCAGGCGAAGTTGCCGAGATGTTCGCAAATATAACCGTTGCACAACGTAGACTACCAAAACGCATAATGGAATTGTGGCAGCCAGCAGTTTTTGGCCACTGAAAAGGAGAGTGGTTTGCACCAGAAGCTTGAAGATTTCTTCAGACAGTTAGAAACGTTTCATAATGTATATAACTTGAGGTTTGAAGGTACTGACGGTTGCAAAGAGAGAGAATTGCTGGAGGCAGGCTCTTGTCAACTAGTTGCATATCTTCACTGAACCTGAGACTCATCAGCCAAGCGGTAAGCAATAACAGGCAAGTGGTGAGGGATACCGATTCAGTATTGAACCCGTCTCTGTAATTGAGAAGAACAGCAATGGAGCACTGCAACTTGTTAGTCAGGCCCTCACAGGATTGCGCTACAAACCCAAAGACAGTGGAGAGTAATCGTCGGTGAAGCTCATCACCTGACGTTGGCGCAATCAACATATGAGTAGACCTGCGAACGAACCATTAGCCGTGTGTGAGTATATTCAGAGGCCGAATGGCTTACCACATTGAACCATTCGTGGCTACCCAGGCTAGCAGTGAAAGGATAAGGTATCCTGCGATATAGAATTTCGTCTGTGAGCCTGGTGACTCCGTCCACCTCTGCAGCCAATACTGTGGAAATGTCACAAAGAATGAGTATGAAGCTGTGCAAGTGAGTAGTATGAAGAAGTTCCGTGGGTGAATAGCTCTCAGGTAATATCCTATAAAAGTCAGTGACCTTCATATCGTTCAAGTTCTAGCATTACCATATAGAGTGAAATCTCCTGTTGATCTACCCAAATCAGCCACAGCCTCAGTTACTTCGAGAGCTTGGCCCTGGATTGTCTTGTTCGTTTTGACAAGACCTGTGTTGGTTTCAGCCACTGCAACGTGGACATTCATCTGACGCAAATGTGCCGCTTCTTCGTTTACTGCGTTTGGTGACCCTTGGTATGTGACTCTTCCACTCTCCAGAATGATCAACGAGTCCGCCAGGTCAAAGTGTTTCGCTAAAGCCTATGAGCTTCGATACCTCGCGAATGATACTGTTAGGTACTCACTAGAATTGGCAATTAAGACGACTGTAGTGCCTGTCTTATGGAAGTGCCCTTGAGTTCCTAGAAGATTAGAAACCACCTTTCTTTCTGTGTTGTGATCTAGAGCTGAGAAGCTGTCGTCAAGAAGCACAATTTCGCCCCGAGCGTATAAAGCACGGGCGAGTGCCTAGTCCATAGTTAGCACTGTAAACCTTCAATGATGGAGATACATTCAAATACATACCAAACGCTGTCTTTGACCTCCAGAGAGCTTCAGGCCCCGGCTGCCTATGACAGTGTTGTCACCGAGCGGCAAGGCTAAAATATCCTCATCGAGGCAGCAAAGCTTGACAACATGTCTATACCAACCGGGCTCAAACTTCCCAAAGCCACAAACCACTTCTTTCAGAGTACCACTCGGTAACCAGGGTGATTGTTCGCAGTAAGCGATCCGCTGGGTGGACACTGAGATTCTCCCACTCGAAGCTGGTATTTCGCCTAGAATGCACTGGGCGAGGACTGTCTTCCCACTTCCAACTGCCCCAGCGCAAATGACTATTGACCCTTGGTTGAAAGTGAAATTGATGTTATCGAGGACTGGACGTGACTGTGAATGGGACTGAACAGTGACAGCTTCAAAGCAAATGGCTGATGAAGAATCATCGACCTTTGTCTTTGGCTTGAACAAGCGTCTCTCATCAGCTCGACCAGGCCGGACAAGATAGTCTTGAATTCTTCCGAAAGCGGCCAAAGAGCCAATGGCACGAGGCACAATCGTCATGATCATGTTTGCTGGGTGGGTCACTAGCCCAAGAAGCGCTGTCGTCGTAAATGCAGTCTCGGCATCCAGAGTCGACCCACGTACGTTAGCATACATCACGAATATGACAAATGTTAGTATAGGAGAGAATATTCCGAGCGCATTAGCTATCATGGTTAGCAGAGGTAGACCTGTGAAGAGATCATCGTGAAAACCCACCACTGGCGTTATACGCGACCATCATCCACCGCACTTTCTTCGCCATCTCTAATTCTTGGGCTCGAAGCTTCTGAATCAATACCTCAGTTTGTCTGGAAAGTCCAAGCATCTTCATCACCTTCATTGATGAGATCGCAGATGCCGTCAGAGAGATTCGTCTCTGTGTCGCTTCATTCCACGCCTTCTGCTTGCTTTGCAGGTTTCTGGCAAGGTAACGACTCATTCGAGAGCAAACTGTAGAACAGAGACTCATTAGCTACCTCTATCTAATCGACACTTGATCTGGATATCTCACAGAAGATAATCACTAAAGGTACTGGGGCGGCCCAGCGAATTTGTCGAGCCAACATTGCCATTCCGATTATGACCTCAAGTACATGTGCCCAAGTTTCATGGAACATACTTGAGAATCTCATGACGCTCTCTGTATCTGTGCTGATTAAAGTTAGGGCTATACCGTCGTTGTAGCTGCTTGATGACTGCCGCAGAGCTGCGTTATTGATAAGCCCGATGAGTGTCCCTTTGGTTATGATGCTGAGTCTGTTTAACCGATGGTGGTAAACTGCTTCAAAAACTGCTAAACCGAAGTAGACCATAGCGGCTTTCATGATCAGCATAAGCCTACCTCCATCGGAGTGGCTGCTTAGTTCATGAACCGCAGAGCTAATGAGAGCCGGCTGCGCGTAACGAAAGAATATGAGGCATAATCGTAGGACAACTGGTACCATGAACTGAGGTAGCATACTCTTCACTAGGCAGATGGGTAATGTTATCTTGGTCAATGGTCTGGCCCTCTGATCCCACGCCTTTAAGCCATCATGACGGAGCTTTTCCGAAGTAAGGAGGTGGTCAATCGGAGGAAGATCTTCACCGGAAAGAATGATCTGGTTCCCCAAGGCGAGAATGGGATTCATCCACCAAAAGCATGTTCTGCTAAGAATTCCTGCCAGCTGCTCTGGAGATTGGAAAGAGTAGGGACTCTTGAGAATCCCTTGTTTGCTTCGGCTTTCTGCGGCGATAAGAAGAAACTTTAGAGTAATCTTGGTGGTGGGTATTAACCACTCCTCGGGACCCTCTTGTAGAGCAGCACCCAAGTCACACACCAAAGATACGAGCAAGAAGATAACAGCGAGATCGGCTGGCCTGGTTGAGCGCACATGTTCCAGGTACAGCAGAGGGCAAAGAAGCGCTGTAGCGACGACAGAGGCAACTGACACTACAACGTGATAGCGATCTTGCTGCAAGATATCTGTTGTCAAAGAATAAAGATTCGACAAGAGAAGCAGGCCTGTTGTTATCTATACCGTACATGGTGTCAGCTTCATATTGTCATACAAATTGAGGGAGTCTGCACCAGCAAGGAGAAGCCAGAATATCCTAGGATGACTTTAATATCCTCTTTCCGAAGCCGCCATAGGCGTAACAAGATTAAGACAGAAAAGGTCGCGTTGAGAAAGCCCGAGACCGGGCCAATCGCGTCGTTGTTCATGGTATGAGAGTGGGAGTACAAGATCGTGACAGAGACAATGCTTAGAAATGAGGACATGTATTATTCCGTGATCCCTTCAAGGTGTTGCAGAATGGAACCTGAAAGATTCGTTTCTATGTCTGAGGGGGCAGGAGAGATTAACTGCTATTGAGACGAACAGATCCTATGCAGATACGAGACGGTAAAAATAGAAGTAATAGTGGGTCGGTCAGATCATAGGATTACGCCATATGGCTTATCTACTCTGGCGACCAACAGGATCAATTCCTGATGGGTACAACGGAGCAGGGAACACAACACAGAAGGGCCTTTTGAATCTACGAGAGCGAAACCAACAACGGTGAGTTTTACCACCTTCTTAGATAGGTATGGCGCCGTACGGTATCAGAACCCATTTTAAATTGCAGTTGTCTGTCAATATTACGTCGGCTCTACTACCATGGAAATAAGAATAAGACGCCCGAGTTCAACGATAAAGACGAACGTCGGGAACACTAATCGCAGAGTCGACGACGGTACAATCTTTCCAGCTCACATATCAAGCCATCTTCACTCCACCTGCAGTATTTCCATCACTCTTCTCATCATGGCTCTCAGTGGGCTTGTCATCGGTACTCGTGACCGGGGCAGCTCCATCAACAACGCCGCTGTGACCTCGACCGACCATAGCAGACTGAACATGATTTGTCATAAAAGCAGTTGGGTCCTCCACGAATAAGGCACAAATAACAGCAACAGTTGAAAACGCAATTGTGATGTAAAACACGAACTGGAATGCTCGACCGTATGCTTGTCTGACTGCATGGCGAAGGACATCCTGGATCTCTGGTGTCATGCCGGGTACGGCGTCGAGGGCACCAGGGACACCGAGGTTGTGCTGAATGGTTCCTGGGATGATGAGTCCTAGGTCAGTGGCGTTCAGACCACTTTGGAGGGCAGCGCGAGCGATCTCTTCACCAGAGTAGGTCTTGAACTTATCCTGGAAGATAGTGTTGAAGATGGCATTTCCGACCGCACCGCCGGCTGATCGGAAAGTTCCAAGTAGACCCATGGCAAGGCCCAAGTGAGAATGGGGCACATGTAGACTAGCTATGGAATATCCCAAGATGGTGCAAAGAACGAACATTGGAACACCAAAAGCTGGTACAAATGCCCAGGCCAGTTTGTGGTTCGGGTTGACAGTGGCAGCACTGGCGCCGATGAAGATGGCCTGGAATGCTGTGCCAGCGACAAACTGCCATTTGATGTGACCGATCTTATGAGAGAAGAGGGGAACAAGAAAACCACAGACACCTTGCATCAGAGTATTGGGTAGGGCTAGAACACCAATCTCAATACCGTCAGTGGTGAACATGTAAAGAGAGCCTTGCGGAAGTAGAGCAGAAAGGGAATTGTAGTTCATTCCCGAAATGAACAAGACGACGATGACAAGAAGAAAGCCACGAATGGTGGAAAATAGACTGAGGGGGAACATAGGAGCTTTGGCGATGAAGAAGTCGTAGATGAAAGCAGCGACAATGGTGAATAGTCCGAGGACGATGGGTACGATTGTGCTGGCACTCTTCCATGGATGAGAAGTGGTGCCGCCCCAGGTCAAGCCGATCAAGAATACGGCGAGTCCGGCTGTGAACAGGCCAAGACCAATCCAGTCAATCTCACGGAACTGAGTCCAGCGCGATTTCTCGAAATCTCCCTGGGGGTGAGTTGTTGGCCAATAGAACAAGGCTGTACCGACCAGGGATATAGCCTGCACGATGATGGCGAGGTAAAAGAGCCATCGCCAGGTCGCATACTTGTACATTGCATTGGCAAGTAGAACGCTCACAACGGCCCTAACATCGTACGTCAATAAAGCTCGATAATTGGGAGCTGATCCAACTTACCAAGGAAGAGCAATTCCTCCCTCAAGAATGCCCAAGCCGAGAGACCGCCATTTGTTAGGAAGCATCTCAGGTACACCTGCATACGCCACAAACACAAAACCAGCACCAAGACCGACCAAGGTCTCGGCTGCAATTATACTTTGAGTGTTCTGAGCGGTTCCTCCCACAATGTTGCCGATCAAGACGATAATTTGACCGGCAAGGATAATGCTTCGGCGACCGAAAATATCGCTAAAGGGACCACCGAGGGAGAAGGAGCAGGCTGTGGCAAGAGACCATGCTCCTACGACCCACGGCAGTTGACTCGCATCGCCAAGTTCATTCGTGATCTGCACAACGATACTAGCAACGCAGACGAACGGAAGACCGACGGCTGGTCCAAAGGACAATGCCATTGACTGTTGGCCGGTGTCAGTTCCGGTTCCGAGATTATACGACCACAGGGGTTTTCTTACAAAGATCGCAATCCATACTCGGGCTCCTGTTTTCGGCTGCGTAGTGGGATTATCCTCCAGCGCAGCACGATGAGGATCATCCTCAAGTTCGACTTTGGCGGGCGATAAAGTATTCGGTTTGGCCATGGTGGTCACTTAACCGAGGTTTCTTGTTGTGGAAAAGAAAAGGTGAGATGAAACAGAGTAGTATTGCCCCTAGCGATGATGTTCAGGAGCTTGGTCCTGTTTTCCTATTATACCTTATCAACGGAATAGTCGGGACTTGGAGTGACTTAAACTGCCGATGCCTTAACTTTGTGGGGTTCGCTAGCGCTTGTGGGGTCCTCGATTTGCTGTGTGGGGATAGAGTTTGACAGAGTGCGGGGAGACTACCCTGGACCCCTGCATGTGATATCCTGTAGCTCGTTGAAAGCAGAAGTAAGCCATTCTGGATTCGGTGTTGGGCTGCGTTTCAGCCGTGATTTGATATACAGACCTAATTACAGGGCAATTGCCGACCTTTGATCGCTCGGCGGGGTTCCGATGTGGGACGGCCGATATGTCTACCGAGGTTTCCAGCCATGTTTCTTCACCATGCGATAATCATTACGGTCCAGGATGCAGCTCACGATAGCTTTGGGGATAAAAAGGCGTGAGAGAATTAATTAAATTGCGTTTTGGCTAAGAGACATTCAGCAAAAGATAAACTTCATTCCCCATACTCTTATCTCGCGGCATATCACCATGACCAACAAGACCGATCTCAGGGTCTCTATTATTGGAGCAGGTATGATCCCGTTCACCAACACAAATTACATCCAATGACAACTAACTCTTCATCCAGGAATGGGAGGTTTGGCTGCTGCCTTGGCGTTCGCCAAGAAAGGCTTCACAAACATCCATGTCTACGAAGACGCACCCGCCCTCGGCTTCGTCGGCGCCGGCATCCAAATGGCCCCCAACATGATCCGCCTCCTTGACCAACTCGGCGTCTGGACCAAATCCTCCATCAAAGACGAAGCCACACAAGTAGAAGAAGTCGTCATCCATGATGGCGCCTCAAATAAACTTCTTGTGCGCGTTTCTATGACTGATATAGGGGATAAGTATGAGTATCCCCACTATGCAGGTCATCGTGCTTCGCTGGCTGAGGGGATCTATGATGCTGCGAAGGCGGAGCCGGCGGTCAAGTTTCATTTTAAGAAAACCCTGCAGTATGTTGAAGACTTTGGGCCGGGGAAGGTCAAGTTTATTGTGAAGGATGAGAATGGGAAACCGCAGATTGTTGAGACGGATATTCTCATCGGCGCTGACGGTATCAAGTCCAAGGTTAGAGAGTCGATACTCGCTCATCTGAACTTGGCAGCAGACATTCTTGAGACCGGAACAGCGGCCTACAGAATTCTCCTGCCCCGGGAACTGTTGGAACCACATCCGTACCTGATGTACATGCTCAACAGCAACACCGTTCGGAGGTGGATAGGCGAACACCGACACATCATCGCCTATCCTATTCACAATCATTCCATCTTCAATATTGCTTCAGTTCAACCTGATATTAACTTCGCCGGCGCTACCAACGCTACATGGACCAACAAGGGAAGCAAAAAAGCCATGAAGCAGGTCTTTGAAGACTTCAACCCCATCGTTCAACAACTTCTTGACCTTGTTCCTGGTGAAGATGTCGTTGAGTGGAAACTGCGCTGTCATGAGCCCCTAGCAACGTGGACATGTGGTGCAGTTACCATGCTAGGCGATGCGTGCCATCCTACACTACCCCATCTTTCACAAGGCGCTGCAATGGCAATCGAAGATGCAGCTACGCTCGCTGAAGCATTGAGCTTAATGCCAGGCGACGGCTCAGACAGGGAAGCCATCGAAAAGACACTAAAGGTATACGAGCTTTTGAGGAAACCTCGTACATCGACTTTGGTAGACTTGGCGGTTCAATCTGCCAAGGCTTTGCATCTGGGTGCGGGAAATGCTAGAGAGGAGCGTGATCGTCAGTTTGCCGCTGCTGCGAAGACGGGAACTGCGCCTGTGCCGGATAGATGGGTTAGTCCGGAGGTGCAGAAGATGATTTATGAGCATGATTGTATCAAGGATACGAGAGAGCGGTTTGAGCAGACCTATAAGTCTGTTTCCAAGGGTGTCACATCGAAGTTGTAGGATATCAAGATTTGCATTCTAGCATAGCGGAAGTCAGCGAAGAGAGTTTTATACTATTATTCCATGTATGATCTGACCACGCCTTCGCGACCAATATTTTCCATTTTGATTCCGACTATTCCCCCAACTCCTCGAAGAAACAAACAGTTATTCTGTTCATTCAGGTTTCTCGTGAGGTTAATTTGCTACGTTAGAGCATCTTCAACAGCTAGAATACTCTCCCTCGCCTCCAAAATTCGCTTATACACGGCTGTGGCGGTATTAGCAAGGGGATAATATGTGCATAATGATCTTACCGACGAGTGGCCACCGCTTCCCCACATGCGAGAGAAGCCAGCCTAGTGAGTCCTTCTTGCTCTGAACGTCCTCCGCAAGCCATACTTCACCCATTCGTAACAGGACTAACATGCCTTGGTAGACCAGTTCAACCAGAAACAGAGAACAGCGACCGTCTTCAAGATGCTGCCATAGATCGTAGCCGCCTTCGCGTAGGGTCTTCGAGATGCGATCCAGAGTCTCGAGGGCTGAAATTGTTTCTGGGAAGACATTAGGTATCGAATCATGATGTGACTCGTGGCCCGTTTGTCGCCAATAGTGCTGCTGCAGTAGCAGAATCCCACTCGTCAAAGTCAGTATTCCTCTCTGAAAGGGTTGGAGGTGACCAACAGGTGTGAAACAGAGCTCTGACTACAGAACGCGAGTTGACGACTGGTCACTTCGAGTTCGTTGACGCGGACTAGGGACTCGAGTGTGCGGCATAGCTGTCTCACTTCCTCAGGCGGACTGTTCTGTGACACGGTTTCGCTGCTATCAGAGGCAACACGACAGAATGCGAGAGACTTGCTGATGAGATGGGTGGCTTGACATAACCGTGCGAAAGACCCCATCTTGAAGGTAAAACCCTCAGATATGCGAGTGGCACATTCGGGTGAAGACGACTGTTGGAATATCTAGTTAGTCGGGCCTTGTAAGTAAGTAAAGGAGAAAATCCAAGGGCTTTTATTCTAAATGATGAACATAAATGATCTAAAGACCACTCAAGGTAACACCAAGCTTGCCAAAATCGTTCCAGCACTTAGGATAGAGGTCCTAAAGTTTCTTGCTTAGGGGAGGGGCGTTTATACTTGGTTGTGAAAGACTTCATCGTCAACGGGGAGAAAGTCCTCGAATGAGGGATCGGCCGTGCTTAAGCCACGAGATGGTTGAGACATGTTGACTAAGCTTCGTTGAGAGTATTAGCACAGGGCGTAATGTGTATAGCGATTGACATACCGATCGAGGATCAATGTGCCCCACCAAACCCTCCTCATTTCTTCAATATCCGCCCACGATGCGCCTATGGCTACGGTACCGCAGTTCTTACCCAGTGCATCCTGGTTGATCTTGTCCATTCCCATAGCCATGCCATACCTTGCCAAAGCACCGACAGTCAGGTAAGCAGCCGGGAAGATTGCATCACCCATCTCGAAGACTGCGATGAAGACGGCCGCCTGCATGACTTGAACGCACGAGTCCTCCTGGACCTCAACTTCGGCATAGAATTTCTTCACCAGGTCGTATAGCTCGCGCTTTTCTTTTGTTTCGTCGACTGAAAGGCAGCATAGCTTCATGCACAACGCTAGGAGGGCAGTTGGACGTCGTAGCGGGGCCAGCGGATTCAAGACAGCAGCTAGATGGCGCTTCCCATTAATTATAGGCATCCATGATCTCGTCAACAAAAGAAATTCCTTTGTCGTGTCTTGCATCTGCTGACGACCCCCAAGTTGGAACTCGACCTCAGCTGGCATATCCCATTCCATACGTGGCAGTTGAAGATGGAGATCGCGAAAGAGGACTGGTGCCAGGAAATGAATGGCCCTAGCGATGCGCAGCTCTTCTGCCTTTTCACATTGGATCGTATCAGGATAACTGTTATGTGAGTTCCTCCTTGCGGCAGCGTCATCTGTGTTGGGCGCATCATCAATCGGTGAAGCGGCCTTCTGCCCGCGCCGCTGCGGATAGCGACATTCTAGGTCTTTGCGACGACAGAGCTGGCATGCAGGCAATGATTTGTCACAGCGTCGCTTACTGTCGCGACAATGGAAACAAGAGACACGAAATCTGCCCGTTGGTTGCAATGAAGTCGACATTGTGGCATGTGCTGTTATGATGACATGCGGACTATGAATCGTAAGCAGACGTGGTGGCGGATGTTGCGGCACTTTGGCGGCACTACAATATTTCGAGGACACTGACTCAGCATGATCCGGGCTCTTAATTGGTGGTCTGGAGCAGTGCGGTAAATCCTGCGGTCATTTCGGGGTTTTGGTGATGGGGTCGCATCGCCAGGTGATCACTAAACAGAATATTAGTGAGCACTCCGCTTATAAAGCTCCACTGTAGATAGTAGTTATACGATGTAAGTGAAAATAGAGTACAATTGCATATATAAAGAGATATCTTCTTCGCTTTCTCCAGGAATAACATCAATAGTATCATACCCAACTACAACAAAACATACAGCATCACAAACGTCTCTTCACTCACAAACCTTCAAGTCCTCTTAACAACATGAAGTCAATCCTCATTGTCGGTGCCACTGGAGCTCAAGGCGGCGCAATCCTCCGTCACCTTTCCAGCACCGGACAATACAATATCACAGCCTTCACCCGCAGTGCGACCTCCCCCAAGGCCGTCGAACTAGCGGCTCTGCCTAACGTCGAGATCGCTGTTAGCGACGCCGCAACTGGCTATGACACCAAAGCATTTCTTGCTGCGGCCTCGGAGATTGATTGCGTTCTGGTAAACACAGACGGATTCGCGCTTGGAGAGCAAGCCGAGATCTATTGGGGTGTCCGACTCTTTGAGTTGTCTGCTAGGGCTGGAGTCAAGCACTTCGTTTACAGTGGTCTCGATTCGGTTGGACCCAAGACCAACTATGATCCTGACCTCTATGTTGGCCACTATCAAGGCAAGGCTAGAATCCAAGGTGAGCTGCCTGCCAACATCTATACTTCCGAATCTAGATTATTGACACATACCCAAGATTGGATCCATGCCCAGAAAGACGTGAAAATGCAGTGGACTATAATTAGATCGGGCCCATACATGGAACTCCTCTCTGCAGTTATGTCACCCGCCATTGAAGAGGACGGCTCTCTCACCTTCCAGCTTCCTCTCGACAAAGGTTCTATCCCTTTTATTCACCTCGGCGACTTTGGCAAATACGTCGACTGGGCCCTCCAGCACCCTGAGGAGTCAAATCATTTGGACTTCGGCATTGCCACTGTTCTCGCGACCGGCGATGATATCGCCAAAGCTTCTGAGAAGGTCAGCGGGAAAACAAGTCGCTTCGCCAACGTTCCCATTGACATTTGGAACTCTGTTGCTTGGAAGGCACTACCAAACGGTCCCGATACAAAGATCGGCTTCCAGTCTGTCAAGGATGACAGCGGGTTGCTTATGACGTACGGGGAGAACTTCAAGAACTGGTGGAACCTCTACAAGGCTAGTCCCAGCGATAACTCTGGATTGATCCAGAGGGACTTTGAGTTTCTGGATAGAATCGTGCCGGATCGTCTCAAGAGTGTCGAGGAGTGGATGAAGAAGGTTCAGTATACCGGTGATAAGCAAGACCTCCTGAATCTTGAGGCTCATACTAAGTAAGCACGGATAGCGATGCTTTCAGAAACGCGATGTCGTATATTATAGTCTAGTTAATACAATTGAAATGCATTTAGGAACATAATTAAATAATCTCATCAATTTTCATCACGCCCCCAAGTGAGCGAAAGTAGCCCAAGCCAACGGATCCTGAATTTTACTTCCCCTCATCTCCATTACCGCTGTATGGTAAGCCCTTGCAACACAATCCTCATCCTCACAGTCCTGAAGCATTAGCTCCTCGTAAAATCGCTTAGCAACTACTCTGGCCTTGATATCCTTAGCCTCCCAAAACGTCCCCACGACTGGCAGAAACCCCAATAATGAAAATGCCCCGGCGATATGGACTACCCCGTCTACAAGATGTCTAACTGATAGGTTTGCAGTTGAGCACGCAGATAGGTACGCAAACTGGGCGTCCCGGTGTCGCGAGCCCTGAATTTCCTGGATCATCAGGTGTGAGTCAGCGTCGGCGCCTAGTTTGAGATAGCTCTCGCAAGGTTGCGTTGACATCGATTGACCGTGGCATCCGAAGAACATGGCATTACATGCTTCGAGAACTTCAAGAGTCTCACTCTTAGTTGGGCCTATGAGAAGCCTGGTCTTGCAGTGCTGTTGAACCAAGTCATTAAGCTCTCTCGCTGACTCTTCAACTTTCAATTCTCTCTCTTTTTTCGCCTTATTTGGAGACGCTATGAACGCGAATCGATAATCTGTGCCTCGTAGCGGTTTACATATAGTCTCGCGGGCATATGCGAGCGCCCCCAGTATCGTGGTGTATGATGGGATGGCGAAATCCAACAGGTTCGGAGTACCGTCTGAAGTGTGGTCTCCAGCGGCGTGGATAGGCATCAGTGCCATAAGGCCACTCGAAGTCCACCATATGCATGGTAGTTTCCTACCATTCGGTGACTGATGGATGTCTAGAGCTTCTATAACTGGATGCACTGCAACATCCCATAGCCATTTCAGAATGCGCAGCATGGATCTGTTCCTCGCGTTCTTAGTATTCAGGCTCCCATGGATCACAATGGGCTTCTCTAGGAAGAGTTTGGCGTTGTTCAGGTCTTCTTCTTTCAAATCAGGTAATGAAACAGGCGTGATGCCCGTTTGCGTAACAACAAAAGCATCGCTTCTGATGTGGCTAACATTAAATGATACAATAGGCCCCTTGTTGGCCAGTCTCTTCAGTTCATTAGTCGATAGAGGCTGTTGAAAGTTGGCAAAATAAGGATCTTTCTTGTCGGATCTTTTCTTCGAGTGCGTCGAGCTACTCTGTTAGTTTATTAATATTAAATGCTTTAAATTTAATTACTCATTTAGTTAGTATGTGTATTAATTATATTATTGCTATAAACTTGAAAGCTTATTTAAATTACAAAATGTATTATATATAAAACTTATTATATTATATAAAATAAATAACATAATTTTAAACGTATTATATTATTTAATAAGCTATATTATTATTAAATTACTTTGCTATATCTTTAGCTATTTTATTAAAGCATTAAAACTCTAACTTATAAAATATACTGTGTTTATTATGCAGTTTGTCTTACTTAACTCTCTTGCTCGCTTATTATGTACATAATACTGAAATCAGCTTAGCACTTTCTATCACATGACCTCATTATTTTAGTTAACCTAATTTTGCCTCAAGGTTTTAGCTATCGAGAACAAATTATTTTGCTTCTGTACCTGAATTGATAGAGCACTATGGCAATTGGCAATAAAGCACCCAAGAAGTCAAATACTAGGCGTAGGCGCATTACACAAGCGTGCGACTACTGTCATCAACGCAGCATTAGATGCCGGCCATCAAGCGACAACCAGGGATGTCAAAACTGCAAAGACTTTGCACAAGAATGCACCTATCATCGAACACCACGTCGACGCGGGACAAAGCCTCGGGGTGAATCAACAGATCATAAGGACTACCCAGAAGACCCTGCGCGCCCGCCTCTTAACGCTGCGAATGCTGGACTGGCCCAAGAAAGTAGCCCTCCATCCCATGATGTGAGATGCGTACCCAGGCCGCGAGCCGTCTCTGTTCACGACAAGCAATGGGAGGCATCATATATTGCCAGTCAAGCCAGCATCATGGACCTAGTTGAGATCTATTTCGAGATCGTTTACCCAATATTCCCGTTCTTTCACCAGCCAACGTTCGTTAGAAGAATCTCTCGAGCCGAGTACACAAGCGAGAAATCCATCTTTTCTGTCACGATGGCTCTTTGTGCCCTGGTCAGTGGTCGCATACGAGACGGGTCAGTAACGAACCCCAAATGGGACCTCGAGTCACTACATAAGATACAACCAGAATTGTTCTACGATGAGGCCAAGAAACAGCTCCTGGAGCTCGCGACAGAGTCAAACATACACATCCTTCGAGCGCACGCAATTCTTGCCATTGCAGCTATTCAAAATGGAAAAACGCGCGACATGCACCACCATCTTGGCTTGTATCACACACTGGTGGCAATGGATGGATTACATAATGAGGCCAATTGGCCACGCAATATTGATGTCGTGGAACGAGAGGAGAGGAGAAGATTGGTCCGACATGCCAAATCATCGTTCCGGCGACAAGTAAGCTAACAATAATTTCAGTTTTGGTCTATGTATACACTCGACATCTACACGGCAGTGGTTTGGGGTGGCATCATTCGATGTAGCGAGTGCCAATCTGAAGTAGCCTATCCAACAGAAGTTGACGATGACATGATCGGCGATAACGGAATAACAGCACAGGATCCAACACCCGGAAACGACAGTCAGTCTTTTGCAGGACGAGAGGAGTGCTGGCTATCAGGGTGGAATTTCATCACAGACCTGTATCGCGTCCTCGAACATGCCTTGACGCGGCTCCGTGGCTACAGAAGGCGACAAACCACAAATTCCTTCTTGGTAGGGATGTTTGAGGAGGACTTTACTGCTACCAAAGCATCAGTTCGCGAGAGCGTCCTTCAAATGTACGTCAACTTGCCGGATTGCTTCAAAAAAACGCCCCAAATGGTCTGTAACGTCAAGAAAGATCGTTTCGGGTTTCAGGCCGCGAATATCACTGCCACATTTCAACTACTGCGCATTGTCCTCTCCGCTGGTAGCGGGACCAGTATCGAACAGCGTTGCCAGATCGCCAGCGAAGTCGTCGAAGCATTTGTCTCTATACCGATTGCTTATCTGCTGTCTATCAGCACCCCGCTACTCCACCATCTTGGGGGCATTGGATCAATTTTAGGTAATGTGTTGGAAGAGCCGCTCAGCGAGGCCGACTATACTCGTGTACGGGGAGTAATGCTCTCAATGGCGATGCTGTTAGAGAACCTGGAGGTCATCCACCACAGCACCAGTGCGAGCGAGAAGCTCCGATCACAGGTTTCTCGGATTGATGAGTACATGACTAGACAGCGACAGATTTCCCCATCAGCCGCGGTCCCGACAGCATCTGGAGGCATGATGGAAGAATCGGTACTGGACAGCCAAATAGCCCAAAGCTATCAGGAGATCATACCAGATGGTGCATTGGACTGGACGTTTCCAGAATATGGAGATCTTCTTGGGGACCTAACGTGGAACTTCAACTTGAACTGATTTTTTAGTGTTAAAGAGTTTTCAGCTACGAGGTGCAATCTCGCATAACAACAAGCTAACCATCGACAACATCTTGCTGCTCAATCGTGCCATTTCCGCAGTTCTCCAAATCCTTCTCAGTGCCACGAACCTGCTGAACATATCCATCGACCTCATCAAGCAACTGTCTCGAGGCTACTGCGACGTCTCCACCAGCTTCAGCCAAGCGCCTCTCATATTCCTCCATGTTCTTAGACACGAGGAGACTGTTGCTTGTGAACAAGAGGTTAATCTCCTCGAGAGACTTTTTAGATACTTCGGGGAAGAAGAACCAGACAAGAGGCATAGCAACGACATTCATGGCCCCGAAAAAAATGTAGGTAGCCCAGCCGAGCCTCTGAAGCATGATGGGAATGACGAATTGAGTCATGCCACAACCACATGCCCAACCGAAGATTGTGAAACTATAACCTTTGGCGCGAATCTCCTGGGGCCAGATTTCGGTTCCATAGATCCAGCATGGAATGATGTTGAACATGGTGAAGAACCTGAATTAAGTTAGCAAAAATAACTACGATTTTCGCAATGTGCCTTACCAGATATAGACGAAGACAAATGATGCCGCGGCAGTACCAAGCTGCTGAGACTTCTCAGAATCTGTAGCAGCCATGTCTTGGGAGGTCTTTATAAAGGCAGCAACAAGGGACAGTGCGATACCTTGAGTGACGAAAGACACCATCAAGGATTTGATGCGACCAATTCGATCGATCACAAAAGACGCCGCTATAGTTCCCGGGATGCCAAAAGTGTTGGCAAGTCCAGCCAACCAGATAGATTTGTGTGTATCAAAACCAGCGAGGTTGAACAGGGTACCGGCCCAAGCAGCAATAGCCAGTATGCCGGTCCATTGCTGGATCCACTGAAGCGCAAAGCCCATGACTGCTCGCCTTCCAAGATGGAGGTTGCCGGAATATCGACCGCCGAGTGCTATGTTGAGGAGCTCATTACGACGGTTGTGGGTGGCTTCGACAATTGAGTCGATTTGTGCAAGCTCGGTAGCTATTTTGGGTGTGTCTCGAGTCAGGTCGCCTCGAAGTTTGCAGAGGATATCGACAGCCTCTTCTCTTCTGCCGTTTGCTATGAGCCATCTGGTATTGTCAGTATACAAGTTCTTCAAGGTTCAGTTACGGCAGAAACATACCTAGGAGACTCGGGCAGGAATGGGAGAGCAATGTCCACAATGATAAGAGGAATGGCCATCCAGGCGAGCGGAAAGCGCCAACGGAACTCCGTGTTGGCGTTGCGAAGACCAAAGTTGAGCCAGTATGCGATTGCGATGCCTAGATAGTTGGAAACAAATACCAGAGAGAAGCTAGAGCCACGATCATGGGCTTCGGACAGTTCGCTGACCCAAGGAGGTACGATGGCATTAAGAAAGCCAATCCCCAGACCAGCGATAATTCGAGCGCAGAGGAACATGTTGGAGTTGATACTGCCCGCCATGAGAGCAGCACCGAGAATGCCGAAGAGCGTGCCGACCAAGACACCGCGCTTGCGGCCAATCTTGTCCCCAACCCATCCTATAACCGTGATTAGTACGTTCCCGACTTGTTCAAGGCACGTCTAATTGACTAACCACCTGTGAAACAACCCCACATGCCTCCAAAGTAGTAAGCTGCTGCAAGACCGCCTTGTTTGGTTGAGTTGGTTACAACTCCATTGGAGCCAATGCCAGCCATATCGATGAAGCCAGGGGTCTCGCTCACAGTCCCCAGCACACCTTGGTTATACCCTATGTTATGTCAGTTGGTTCGTCTCACAACAATTGTGGCTAACTCACCTTCAAAGATCAAGGCTGTTGAAGCGACAAGGTTAATAAGAAACAACAACGCCTTGCCAGGCACATGCCTCCAGACGTGAAAGTTGATCATAGTGTAGAATGCAGAAGCTCGGACGTTCGTATCTTTGCGGTACTGATGGGATGATTGATGAATAGTGTCCTGAGTTCCAGGCATGAAGTGGAATCAGCGAGATTTATACCTTCGTAACATGATTAAAGAAGAGGTTGTCTAAGAACCGAGGAAATGTTTCGAGTGACTAACCTCGAAGCTAATTCCCCGTGATTCCCCAGGTCGAATCACAAATTTTGCGGGGGGCGTCTGGTATAGTCCGCAGGGATATCAAATGTGAGCTTCCGCCGTTTGAGCTGTATCTCGCCCCACTGCGGAATAAACCCTTATGACCTCTTATTGGTTCATCTGAGACCGCAAGTTACGTGCTGATGACGATGGCAGTACTATACCCACAATGTCTCCGCTATGGATATTACATTCCATACCCCTGAGAGGTCCACGCTTAAATGCTTAAACTCGTGGCCCTTAAAACAAGGGCTAAAAGGCCCGCTTAACCACTTAACAGTTTAAGCTTTTAACCGCTTAGGCGAGGTATGACAGGCGAAACCACCTCTCCGGAACTACCCCAGATTCTGGAGGTGGCTCAGACATTGAAGGATTGGATAAATAGCCTTGCCTTCTACTTTCAAACTATACGCCGTCGATCAGGCTCTCAAAATTATTTCGTTCATATTACAGAATCTTCACCATGGGATCTACTGAAGGTCTTGTCCCGGCCGCTCACGCGCCTCTGGACATTACCGTGTTGGGCTTAAACTCTGGCACGTCCATGGACGGTATTGATTGCGCCTTGTGTCGCTTTCGTCAAGCCTCACCAAATGCACCGATGCATCTCGAGCTCTTGAAGTACGACGAGATTCCTCTTGAACAGACCATCAAGAAAAGGGTGATGCGCATGATCCTCCACAACAATACCACACCCGAGGAACTATCAGAGGTTAATGTCCTGCTTGGCGAGACATTCTCAGATGCTGTTATGCAATTCTCACAGAAACACGGTATTCCACTGTCATCCATTGATGCCATCGGCTCTCATGGCCAGACCATCTGGTTGCTCAGTATCCCGGAGAAGGGGCAAACCAAATCTGCCTTGACCATGGCAGAGGGTTGCTTTATTGCTTCTAGAACTGGAATTACTACGGTTACTGATTTCCGTGTCTCGGATCAGGCCGCTGGTCGTCAGGGAGCTCCTCTCATCGGCTTCTTCGACTCTCTGCTTCTTCACCACCCCACCAAGTTTCGAGCCTGCCAAAACATTGGCGGCATTGCAAATGTTTGTTTCATCCCGCCTGATGTCGATGGTGCATTGAATACTGAATTCTTTGACTTTGATACTGGACCTGGCAATGTTTTTATCGATGCGGCGGTGCGGTTCTTTACAGATGGCGAGAAGGAGTACGACAAAGACGGTGAAATGGGTCGAGCTGGAGAGGTGGACCAGCAGATGGTCGATGAGTTCCTGCAAACTCATCCCTACTTTGCTCTCGATCCGCCCAAGACGACGGGTAGGGAAGTCTTCAGAGATACGATTGCACACAACTTAATCGATCACGGCCTCGAGAAGGGAATGTCCCCAAATGATATTGTGGCCACCATCACGCGTATTACCGCTCAGGCTATTGTGCAGCACTACAAGAGATACATGCCAACCCAGTACGGTCCGCTAGCAGAAATATACATGTGCGGCGGCGGAGCGCGAAACCCCAACATCATAGAGTATATGCAGAACGCCTTCCCTGACACTAGAATCACCATGCTTGACGAGGCTGGTATCCCATCAGATGCCAAGGAAGCTATCACATTTGCCTGGCAGGGGATGGAGGCTGTGGTCGGGCGAAGTATCCCTGTTCCTTCACGCGTCGAGACCAGAAGAGAGTATATCCTTGGCAAGGTAAGCCCAGGCAAAAACTATCGCAAACTCTTGAAGAAGGGAATGAGCTTTGGGGGTGATTTGGAGTATCTGCCACCTGTTAAAGAGCTTGTTAATTATGTTGGCGGTCAAGTCTTTAGTACTATAAAGCAATAGACTCTTTTTGTTGCCTTATCTGATAGACTTATATCGAAAGTTTTATATATGTTAAGATTAACTTACATTAGCCTCTACCGTAAATCCTCCTTCATGATAGCATTAAGATAAGACATCTTGGTATAATCCGAAAGGGCAGGTGCGTATCTAAATAAATAGCAACAATCTATCAGACCTTGGTCTCAGAATCACTGGATCGAGGAGACACTTTCTCAGGACCTTCAGACTGTAGTACCGTGGATTGACGAAGACGACCGGCAACATCATGCGTCGCTTCCCACTCGTCCAGCTCACCAATAGGAACTTTTCTGATTTCATGACTTTGGACACCATTATCCAGAATGACGGCTTCTGATCGCAGCTTATAGCCCTTCCATTTTGGCAGCAGGAATGCCCAGAAATAGTAGTACAAAGCACATGCAATGAGGCTATAGAATTTGTTAGCTGTGGCCAACCAAGGTATTGATAGGGGTTCATGAACTCACATTCCGATACCTGTCACGACGTATGTGGCGTACCAGAAACTGACATCGCCGGCGTACATTCCACCCTCGGGAGGATACCAAGGCATAACGATCACAAACAACTGAACGAGAATATTGAAAATGACAAGAATATGCCAAGCCTTGAACTCGGGGGCAGGTAGGTTTGCACGCTTACGGCGCCAGCGCACAACGTAGAGTCCCACGGCCATGGCAAGATTGAAAGCCGCACCCGGGTAGACACCGAGGTCGCTCACTAATATCGGTCAGCCACTTTTACATCTGAACAGAGACGAGATGGCGTACCGAAGTTGAAGGCATCGCCAGATGGGATGGCAAGAATCATAAGGGCAGTGATAGCCCAAGTCGTGAAATAAGGTCCGAGGGGTGTTCCAAATGGCTTGGTAGAAACCCAAAAGGGAGTCCACGGAAGGACACCTTGTCTATGGACGTGTGTTAGTTTGTTCATCCTTACCATCGCTTCTAAGTAGACAAACCTTCCACATTCTCGAAGTCGTCGGGACAATCCAACAATGACGGCCATGATGTTTCCAAAGGCACTCAAAGCAATAAGGAAGTTGAGACCTCGCACTGCTCCACTATTTCCGAGCACATTACCGAAGAACAAGCTTGCTGCTGTCAGACCGGAACTTTCGAGCTCTTCCTTTGGCACTATGACTATCAGTATAAGTCGAAGAGGCTGGGGCTGATTACTGTACCTGCTGAAAGCCAAGCGACATTGGCGAACATATAAAGAACATATACCGTCGTCAATGCAGCAAAAGCATATTTCTTGAGGGACTGGACAGGGTTCTAGAGCAAGCAGTCAGTGTGGTGTCAATGATACAATAATACTCTGAGCATACCTTGACTTCGTTAGCGAGGTTGAAAGCGTTATTGTATCCACCATAAGAGAAAATGATTCGATATAGTGCATTGGTGAGACCGTATGCACTAGCTGAGCCTGTGCCTTCGAATGCGTTTCGGAAATTGGCCTTGGGGTCTTCGACGTCGGTATGCCCACCTAGAACAACGAATCCGGTAATAATGATAAATATGAGTGTGAGAATCTTGACAACACCGATCGCATTCTGGAACCAGTAGGCGTATTTGGTGTTGAACACCAGACCTGCAACGAGTAAGTATAGTCGCATGCCAATGAGAAAGCCCACTTACACAAGCATGCCACGGTGTATCCAGCGAGGGCTACACCTTTGATCTCCCAGTTACTAGGTTCTTTGGTGGAGCACCGAAAGAGGTAGGTTGCCAGGACTGTTTTAAGGGTTAGTTTTGATATCTCCAAGGAGACTTATTTTCTGCCTACCAACAGCATTGCTACTGCCGAATGACAAGAGGACGCTCTGCACAGCAAAGGTGGTTGGGAAAAACCAGGTAGGTCGTGGGAACGCTTGTTCGAGGAAGACAACCTCGGAGCCCGATCGACTAGGAAAGTATGCGGTAAATTCCAGGTAGACTGCACCTGATGCAATGCAAAGCTGAGAACGATGTTAGATCAAGTTCTTGGCCTCAGTGGGTAACGGGATCCTTACCAAATAACCCAAAGTCCAATAGATGAACATGAGGCCAACCGAACCGGTGCCGTGTAAGATTGCAGAGGCTAGAAAGTTTCAGCGATACTGTTCGAGTAGTCATGATGGGAACATACGTGTAGAGTAGATGCCAGTACCAATCATCATAGTGACATTGATCAAGACGATAGTGAATGGCCCAACATCGTAGCCCAAAGGCGACTCATGCTCGACAGGCGCTCCAGTGGCTTCCTGATACGTAACAGCGTTGCTGTTGCCACCTGTCTCTCCTACATATTTCAAGCTTCCGTCAGAGAATTCTCCATCGTTGCTAGCGGTCGCAACAGCCGCGTCACCGCGGCCACTGAATGGTTGTCTCCAGGAGACCATAGTGGTCAATCTGCAACTAAATGGAAATGGACATGAACCTAGGCCAAAGAAGTTAAGTCTATGAAAATGTTTGGTGCTATGATAGAGCCAAGATATTGGGAATGAACATTTGGCTATATAGTTCAAACATTTACATACGATGCCTTCCTCTATTGCCGACAGCGGAACGATCGGGCGTTCTCGACCAATAATGTCTCAATTCTTAGCTAACAATCGATTCGAAATCTGCAAGAAATATGGCATATTTCGGCGGGATGTGGGAGGAGTGGACGAAAAACAGGGTGATTCATCACGAAAGACCTCTCAACTATGACGAAAGCTGGCCATATCAAAGTTGAACCAACAACTACTTAGGCATGTAGATAATGGCTACTCCACGCGTAGGATCCGAGCCCACAATGACTGCATTGGCAGAGAACGGTTTCACGAAGTTGAGTAAGATTAAAAGTCTTTAGTCCAATGGAGGCACTGAAAATACTACCAGAGCTGTGAAGCGTTATTGACAATGATGCAGCTGTTATACTTGATTATATATAGCACAGTACTTTCGCATCCTCTATTATCTACATAGCCCAAGAAATTCTTGCAGCTCTGCCTGCAGAGACAGTATGCTTAGGTTCACCCATTCAGCTAACCCCGGGTTCGCGAATACCCCGTCAGAAGTTCGGCGAACTAGAAGCCAATTAAATCCAAGAGAATGCCAGACTTGTCCTTCGTATAACGATTCATGTTCGTTTCTCAAAACAGAAAGGGGCTTATCAAGGGTTGATCGCGGGTGTTGGTTGGCTATAGCCGATGGCGTTCTACCATGGGCGATGGCGAAGTATGGCGACAGTGGCCCACCATGGCAATCCCACAAAACAACCTCCCATGATTCGTCCATCTTACGGTTAAGTCGGCCCATCCATTATTAATAAAAAACAAGCTTCTCTATCTCCTGTCCTTGGCTACACAATTTCTTATCCCCAGATAAGAGAAAGAGCTACGTAGATTTAAGTATCTATAAATTTATTAATAACATAATAGTTAATATATAAATTAATAAAAGATATTTTATTAGAATAGGCTTTAAGTTTAGGATATATATAATATCTTTATAAGTATAAAAAAATAAAATATATATTAAGGTTTTATTTTTAAATAGTTTATAGATATAGCTCTTTTAACTTATAAAGGTAAATATATATAAATTTATATAATATAAATATAAATAAAGGAGTTATAAAGTTACTTTATAAATTTCCTACTTCAATGTAAAGATATCTTTAGCTAATATTTCATAGTTATTATTTAATATTTTATACTTATTATTTAATATATAATATTTATATTAATGTTAGGTTTACAGACTATAAATCGCTTTACTAATTCCTATATTTAAGACCCTAATTTATAGAAAGAAATATAATAGTTTAGAGACTATAATAGCTAGATGCCAGCCTTGGCCCTAAGGCTATATTGTTAATATAGAAAAACAAGCTGTAGTATTTATAAGACTAGGAGGTTAGATAAGCTTTAAAACTTCTGGTATGATATTAATGCCACTACATTATTAACGATATACATTTGTATGTTTCTCCTCTCCCTTTATAAGTGGCCTTTAAGCTTGTTTATGTCCTGGCCGCCAACTCGGGGTGTCAGTTGGAACCATAAATGATGTCATGGCAGCCTCAGGCTATGTAGGCTATGGGCATCTGAGTCACTATATCACCACTAAGCAACAGGAGAGTCACGTATTACCCCTAGCTGCATTACCCAGTTCTGTCCGTTTGCCCTTTTCCTCTATAACATGTCCAATAAAACACCCAACCCCCCAGAAATCTCGGTGAGCCTCCCCATCCATCCTCCTACATTCACGAGAGGCTCTGTATCACCTCCCAGTGCCACCATCGCTATCATCGCAACCTTGCACGCTTTTGAACCTATCACTATATTCACATGGCAAAGCTTCTTCAATCTTGGACTTGCCCAGCGCCGTATGACTTTTATCTGTACGGATCTCACGACTGGTTTGCCGCTCCAGCTCGAGACTACGAAAGGTCTAAAGACCACAGTCTAGTCATGACTCGGTGGCCATGACGACGAGTACTTCCTTTCTTTGGAGCCAGAAAAGCCTATCATCATCACCCACATGCTCCTTCGATCTTTTGCCCTCGAAGGCGACAGAGCCGTTAAGCCCGGCCACAAGCATCAACTCAAAGTACGGGATAATGAGGAGGTTTAGTGGTGGCGCTATGGAAGGAAGGAGGATGTAATGTCGCCCCCTGGTCAGTGTTCTCCAAAAGAAGGGTGCGAAGATCCGACTGGTCAGCTGATTAGATTAGTCACACTGATCCAGTTGAGTTTGAGGTCGAATGAGGTTTGTAGTAGAGGGGCTGATTAGAATGTTGTCAAGTAATAGCAGCTCGTACAGAGGCACGTTTACAATCTCAAGTAAACACTCTTTTGCAATCCAATGTTCTTTTGCTGCTATTATTAATGAATTGAAAGGCTCTAAGATGACAGCAGTCTTATACATCAGTAGTTGCGTATGGACTTCTGCGCCTTAGCTGAGGACCGTGCTTCCAGAACAGAATCGGCGCTGGCGTAAGCAACATTGCTACGCACCCTAGAACTGTCATCGTCCAATGGACTCCAATACCTTCATACATCGGCCGCGCAGCCATGACCATTCCGCCAGCGATCAGGTAGCGGGACATGGTGATACTACCCAAAGCTATAGCGGAATGCTCACCGTAGCTATCAGTGATATATTCATAGCTGCTGACATAGATGGATGTCAGCACAATCCCGAACAAGAAGCACGCCCCAAGTCCGCTCCAGATGGAGACTGTGGAATAGTTGGTCCAGCCCAGCCAAAATAGTGCGATGGGCAGGAATGGAGCTGTCACAATCGCTGGCCAGAGCCTGAACTCTGGCTGTATAGATGCTCCTCGAACTCGTTCGGTATGTTGTCTTGCCCACTCGTAGAGTCCAGGTCCACAAAGAACGAAGGCCGTGGCCCCCGTAGCGATGGCAGCGAAGCATGAGCCTTGGTATCCAGGCTCGAGTTTGTACGTCTCTTTGAAGATGTAGTCAAAGCCTGATAGGAAACTGAAGAGCAGAATATACAGCAAGACGAGGTAGAGACCTAGCACGATGATGACCGGTTCATTTCGGAAAAAGGTTGCTGGTAGCGGGAGCGTTTCTCTCATTTGCTTCCAGAATGAATGCTTCTGCTCATGTTGCGATGTGTATCGTTGATCGCCTGTAACGCGACGAAGCTCTTTCGCTTTCCATGATAGAATCAGCGGAAAGTATGTCTCGGGGAGGAATAGTACGGCCACTACAAAGGCAGCTCCAGAAATCATCAGAGTAGTCCATTCTGTCCATCTCCAACCGAGCTTCGGGTTGGAGACAATCCAGCCGCTTGCTATGGGTGCAATCACCGGGGCAATATGGATGTTAACAATCATGCTTCAGCCTCTGCACATGGAGATTTACTCACCCGCCACATTGGCCCAAGCAACAATTGGAAACACCAATGCTCTCTTGACTGGCCTGAACTGGTCATTCACACTCGCCCCATTAATCGTTAACGTTGCGCTAGCGCATAAACCCACGAGATATCGACAGACAACTTGCCCACCAAACGTCGGTGTCATAGCCGATCCAAGAAGGAAGCAAAGATAGAACGCAGTAACCACCAAGTAAGTAGGATTTCTTCCAACAGTTTCGGATATGGGTCCAACGAATAACGCCCCGGTTCCGACACCGAAGAGAAACATGGCTGTGGAGAGATTCTCGGCGATTTGACCAACACCAAACTCTTGACTGGCCATGGAATTCCCCATCGAGATTGCAGAGCCAGCCCAGCATTGCGTGAATACCAGAAAGCAGATGACGAAGATATTCTTCGCTCTTGATGATCGCGGCCAGTTCAATGGATTCAGAGGATCATCTTCGCATGTGCTTTGGACTAGAAAGTGACTCTCGCTAGGCTCTTGTTGGCTTACTTCTCCAGAGGTTCCTGTGTTGTTGCGGGATGAAAATGACCGTTTTCGAAGACGAGGTCTAGCATACTCGATTGATTCGATGTGATTTTGGTGGTTCAATCTTACTTGGTTGGCGATCTGTCGGCGCTGGACGTAGGACCACATTCTCATGAACGGAGCGGCTGCAATGGTGTCGAAATCAAGGGCCAAAGACTCACCGCCATACCCCAATCTTGGAGATCGCGCATTTTAAGTTAGCCAGTAGTTGTAGGGCTGTGTCGCGTGATGACTTGCTCTTCTTGGTCTCAAGATCGACATCGTAACGCCACTATTACGTGTATATGAGCTCATCAAGTACTTCAATAAGCTGCAACTATGTCCACCAGATGACCTATATTAGGCTCAGATAATCAATGCTGCTCAATTAACGCAATTCTGCTTTTAGATACTTTCGGTACGTTCTTTATCTCTCCAATGAAACATACGTGTAGTGGCAAGGCATAATATTTTGGGCAACCCTTCCCTCTAGATTTCCAGCAACAACCAAACGGAGCTGTCTTTCTGACAGGAGATGCGGGATCATTTAGTCGATGAAACACGCTTCAAGCAAGTCCTCTAGCAGGAGCGTAGACTGGCTGACGTTGGTATGCACCGTGAATGAGACGTGCGTCGAGAGTTGCATCGAGAGTGCTTCGAAAGTCAGGGTTCCAGATGTTATCACCGTAGATTACAAGGTCCTTGATATTCTGTGGAACTTTTATACCGTAAAATTTGTAGTTGAACGGTGGCTTGATAATGTCCTCGAGGGTTTGTTGGAACGATGACGCCCTATCAGTAGCATTTTCTGTTCCAGTATAGAGATGATAATTGTGGCGGAAAACATCTGCCAAGCCTTCTTCCTGGTAGATCAAAGCGAGTTGGAAACCATATTCACTTTTATCGATGACAAGAACGAGACTTCCAGGGAGACCAAAATCGCCTTCGTCCAACCATTTGCTAAAAAGAGCAAGTACAGGAGCTGTAGGTCGTTCAGCCCAGACTTCTACAAGCCCACTCCGTCGGACTGCTCCAGCAACAACATCAGCGAGGTAGCCATTGTTCATGTCTCTTGGAGAGAAAGCGACTTTAACAAAACATATAGAGTTGCCAAGATATGCCTCAACCGCTGCCTTGAGACCTCTTAGTACCGGCTCCACTGCGGATTTATCGATGTCTTCCATGGTTCTTGGCTGCTCCCAGAACCTTTCTTTGAGGCTCCAGAGCTGAGAAACTGGTCTTCTTAAATTGCTCGGATTGCCGGTTGTTGTCAATACCGTGTTTTGTCGGAGCATGAGATCTTTATAGGGTTGAGTCCCTTCGACCCTTGCAACAGCTACAGACGAGCCATTTTCGAAGAAGATCGCCGCGGTTATCTCGAGGGTTACTACTCAGTCGACTGTTGAAGCACGATACTGTGAGGGTCAATAGGCTTACCCGTGGTCAGGAGTCAAGACGAACGCTACTCCAGAAGCCTCGAGATCGCTGCATGATCTTAGGTCACGCACGAATGATACTAACGGCATGGCGGCAAGGCTACTAATAATCGTGATCGCCAAGATGAAAAAGAGCTGCCGGGTCGTGCGAAACATGGTGGCTTTGTTTTGAGTGATACTTAGGATGAAGGATGGAAGAATCAAAGTAAGACATAAAGTCTGACATGCGATGGAAAAGCGGCAGGGGAACGTTCAGAGCACGCCAGGTTGCCTAAATGCTTGCGTGTCATGATAACACCGGGAGCACGTGATGGATGGTCAATAAGGTTTTGACAAATGTGACAAAAGGATGTAGGTTTTCTTATTGATGCACCACCTTGACTCAAGTCACTGAGATATAGTTCAGGCATCAAGAGGGAAACTCTCTATCTGATACCTGGCTTAGTCCTAATCATAGGTCTGTGTCGAATCTTGTTGCTTGAACAGATGGATGATAAGACAACGCTGCCAAATCTCACTTCTCATCTACTTCTATTTGTCCTCCATCTTATACTCAAGCTCTTCTACAGGGATAGCAGCAGAAGATCTTTCAGACTCAAGACGTAGCTCTCGCTTATGCAAAAAGTCTGCAAGTACTGTTATGTAAATGATTAGCATCTCGCAACCTTACCTTGTGATTTGACAGGTTATTGCTTACACATCAAGCCGCATGCGCCGAGAGCAAAGGAAAGAACCGATGGGAAACCCCTCTCGAACTTGGGGGCCATAGTCTGGGGGAAGATAAGGATGGGAAGAAAGGAGTTGGTGGCATAGAAAAGACCGTTCATGCTGGAGATGGTAAGTGCGCGCTCCTCGGCATTTCCGACATTAATCTCGTTTGCCCAGGTCTGTGAGGATGAGTCAGTGGATAATTTAATAAGTTCTTGTCTATGCTTACCCAAGTTACTCCAGTGACGAAACCTCCTGCAGCAAAGAAGAAAGCGACCACCCGAGCAGTATCAGATGGGGGCCATGCTGTGAGAATAGCGGAGCTGACAACGGTTGTACACAGCTATTGTAAAGACACATCAGTCATAGTCTCAGAGGAAGGGAGAACCGGGGTACTCACAATGGGGCCAACCATCCACCCAACACGGTTTCTGGTGTAGTCAGACATAAAGCTCCAGGTGAAGTCAGTGACCATCGAAACGAGATTAGCGCAGCCGGGAATAATATTGCGTTGAGTAACACTGTATCCAGACTCTCCTAGATAGGCACCAGTAAGTTCATGAAACCACTATTGAAGCGTAGATAGGGCATACTAAGGTAGATGGCAAAATAAGGCGCCGCCTGGCAACTGTTTCCATACTACACGTAGAAGTTAGCTGCGCGAATGTGTTGGAGTCAAAGACATAAAGATACTGACCAGAATATATGTAGCACAGAGCACCCACCATCGCCAGCTGCCAAACATACGCTTGGCAAGGGCTAGGTCTAACTTGCCAGTCACCTGGACCTTTCCTTGAGTAGCAGAGCGTCGTAGGGCGATCTGCTTCTCCTCCTCTGTGATATACCAGGCCTTGGTGTTGTGAGGCAGATCAGGGAGGAACCACCACACAGAGAGAGCAACTGGGAGAGACATGCAGCCGCAAACTATTAATGTCAGCCAAGTTTCACGTCGCATCTCGTGCAACACGTCTTACTGATATACATCCAACGCCATCCAGCGAGACCAAGGCTACCATCAAGGGTCCTGTGAACCGCAGCTTGGAGGAAGCCCGAAGTGGCTGATCCGAAGAAGCCCGTGATGTGCCAGATGGCCATTCTCTTGGCCAGCTCTGCTTTATTGTACCAAGAGCCGAGGAGGAAGATGATGATAGGGGAGAAGCCGGACTCGAATAATCCGATCATGAAGCGGAAGGCGTACATCTGATTTGAGCTGGTGGCGGCTGCTTGGGCAAAGCTGTCCGAGTGCATAACGCGTCAGCGTAAGGGAGCAGACAGATCTGGGCTGTGCAGTACATACGTAAAGATAGTCCATCCCAACTCGCAGACAACGATGCAGATTCGGGGTCTGATCTTGAGAGCGATGGCGTTGGAGGGGATCTGCATTATGGCAAAGGCGATGGTGTAACACACTAAGACAGGTTAGCTCGTACCATTGCTTCCATGGCATAATGATACGTGTTGTCACTTACTGAGCATATACGTATACTCATTGCCCTGAATGTCCAGATCTTCCTTCATGCCGCTGACGTCTATGAAATAGTCAGAAAAACTGCCATTGAACCATCTCCAGATAGGCAACTCACAAGCATTGACAATGTTATTCTGGTCAATGTACTTCATCCACTACGCGTATGGCTATTAGTTCGAATATCTTTGCAGTGACTGCTGAGAGCAATACGTACCCAGCCAAGAGTTGCACAGATCAGAATGCCAAAGTCTAGCTTCCTGACCAACTTTCGCTCTTCGGGGCTCTTGAGATGCTGGTCGTTGTCCCAAAGATGATAGAGGAATCTTTTGAAGGGCGAAGTGGGCGTAGGCTGCGCATCTTCACATACCAAGACGCTAGCACGGCTGCCGCTCGTAGGCTCCTGAGTCATCTTGACCTCGGTCTTTTTTTCGCCTTCCATAGCTATGAAACTGTCTGCAGGTAGGTTGCAGAGATTGATTGAGATATTTCAACACAGTGGAGGAGGTGAATATGTAGGAATGGGAAGACTACGGCTTGACTGCTAAACCCAGGGTTCATATACCCCAGGAAACCAAGGTCCATCCATCAATGCATGAGTGGAGTTAGATGCGCTATCTCCAACATTTCCCCCGCAATCTTCCCTATCTCATGATAACGAGATAAATAAGGTGACGCTTAAAATGTGGCGCCGATTAATCTATCGGCGTCGTCTCCGACGGGGGCCGATGGACCTAATCTTCGGCAAACCCGCCTCCGATGTTGCCGATCAATCTCCGCGTACTAACTAGGCCGGTGCGTTCAGTGTTTGTCTCTGCTTTGGTTTTTGTCTTTGACATTGACTCTTTCTCAATCAATCCAATCCTCATTTCCACCCAAGACGAAAGACATTACGCGACCATGTTGCTCAACCAGATCAAAGACGAGTTGGCCGAGGCACGGGAGATCTGCCGGAGTAACCTGGTAAAACAGGTCATGATGAACAATCAGATCGCCACATCGTTCGGTCTTCGACTCTGCTCGTCCACCGAAATACCTCTTATCGCGAAGCGAGCTGGATACTCGGCTATACTCATGAACCTTGAGCATGCACCGATTGGTATTGAGACTATGAGAGATATCTCTGTCGCTTGCCTCAACGTCGGGTAAGTCTGAGTACGGGCTATTCCCCTATCTCGAACCTGATACTGAGTTGTTAAGAATCACGCCCATGGTTGTCGTGCCTACTTGCGAAGCTCAATGGATATCTCGATGCCTTGATTCAGGTGCTCAGGCCATAGTAGTACCGCATGTCAACAATGTTGAAGAGGCTCAAGTCTGTGTTAATGCAGCAAAGTATCCGCCGCTGGTCAGTTTGTCCTATCGTTCATCAAGGCCATCTCAGATACAAGTTGCTAATATAAATGTATGCTCAGGGCCGCCGGTCATTGACCATGGCTCAGCCTATAACACAGTACACGACTCATATTCCGCACCAGGTTGTTGCACAGGTTATCAATGATAATGTCATGATTATGCCCATGATTGAGACGGCCGAGGGTGTATCGAATGCAGAGTAGGATTACGCTTGCACAACTGACCGTGGTACTTGTTGTCTAAAGCTAATACCTCACTGCGCAGATCCATTGCAGCCATCCCAGGAGTGGATGCTCTTTTTATCGGTTGCGCGGACTTGACAACGGAGTAAGGCCCCCAAAGATGTGCCTGGTGCGCTGCGAACGTCACAATTTGATAGCTGACAAGTCACGGAATAGTCTAGGCATCGCCGGTCAATACGATACGGTCGAATTTCGCAAGGCTATCGACGCCATATCTACAGCCGCTCAGAATGCCAGTGTCAATGGCCGCAAGGTCTTTGTCGGCCTTGGTGGCTTAGAGGGGAGACCAGATCTTCTAGAGACCTTTGTCCAGCAATATTCCAACATACGGTAGGTTCCGAATCATAGCGGCTGTCATGTTAATACTTGAAATCTCGCATAGTTAACCGTTCCTAGATTTACCATGGCTGGCCGCGATCTATCGATGCTGGCAGCTGGCATGTCACGACAGCTCGAATCGATTCGCGATATTTCCTCCCGTATACAAGACAGCGAGGTATAGAACGTGCAAAAGACATGAGAAGGCAAGGATGCGCGCATAAGATATTAAACCAATTAAAAGACTTTGTAGCCGCTCAATGGATGGATGTATTTGTAACGTATGGACAGCACCAGACCTCGTATTCTGAGAAGGATATTACGAGAAGGATATGTCAGAAGTTTGCGCCTGTAGCGTTACCTCCAAGATTAATAGGAGGATAGTCTTGATTGACACAAGTTCGAGTTAATAGACCAGACAGTTGATGTTCACATCGCGCGTCTCATACTTTAGCCGTGGGCGAGCCAATCAGTCGATAATAGGATATCCTGAAAAGCCTTGTACCAGGAAAGATGAACGTCCATATTAAACCTTATTCTCTAGATTTATAAACCCGATTTTCACTTGGTCGACCTTGCTCTTTTAAACGCTACGCTCACGTCTCTTCTTAAATCACTGTCGACCAAGACACGAATACCTAGCATAGCAAGTCCTCTCCCTACCCTAATAGCTCTTTCAAGTGCATCAGGAGTCGCTGCGGCAGCCGTGAACCCCGCGGTATGATTTGAAGCATTGTCTGAGTGAATGCCGTAGGAGCAATGGAATGACGGGACAACATGAGATACGTTACCTTTCCGAAGATAAAGATGTCAGCTCAAGTTGATATGATTGTCGGGTTCAAGTGTTTACATACCCATATCAGTAGCCGCTGAAACGGCTTCCTTCGCCATAGGGAGGAAGCTATCGCCTAGAAGAGCCATTTCATAGGTGAATGTCTCGCAAAGCGCCGAGTTGAGGATCTGGTCTTTGTATATAAATGGTCTGCCGATATGTAAAAGAGATTAGCAACAAGTTCACATGCTTCCAAAGTCCACATCACTTACGTCTCTGTCTTAACTTGGCAGCAAGTGGCGGCCGCTGCAGCTTCAAAGCAATTCGTCACCCTTCGAATCAGGTCATTACACTCGTGCGCCGTGCTGCTGCGGATACTGTACTCCATGCTCGTCTTTTCAGGTATGATGTTGCAGGCAGTGCCTCCATTGGTGATGATGCCAGAGATACGTTCCGCCGGCTTAATTTGCTGTCTCATCATCGATATACTGACATAAGAGCCAACGGCAGCATCGAGGGCATTATGGCCTTGCCAAGGTGTGGCACCAGCATGTGCAGCCTTGCCAAAGAAGTTGGCCGTGAGCTTTGTGGCAGCGACAGTGACGAGACCAGCTGCTCCAGCTAAACCTTCAACCTCTTTGATACGGCCCATACTGGTCGGATGGGACATGAGTGCTGCCGCTGCTCCCTCAAATGCACCCGCGTCGAGAAGTCGGATCTTGCCGCCTCCTCCTTCTTCAGCGGGCGTTCCTAGGATACGAATTCTGCCAAGAAGACCGAGTTCCACAGCTGCCCTTGCTGCAGTGACAAACGCGGTGATACTTGACAAGGCAATGAGATTATGCCCGCAGGCATGCCCTATGCCGGGAAGCGCATCGTACTCTGCACAGTATATAATGAAATGCTCGCCGTTGCCTATCTCAGCCTCAAAGCATGTTGAGATATCATATGCGTGACGTTTTACGGTAAATCCGTTCCTCTCGAGGAAGTCGCATATGGTATCGTGTGCGAATTCCTCTTCATAACAAAGCTCTGGATGTGAATGAATGTCGAGGCACACTTTCTCAAGCTGACTTCTGAGGCGATTGGTCTCCCTTGCAATGATATTGCGTGCCTTGTCAGAAGAATCAAGCTTGGACACAACAGTCATTGTGAATGATAATCGGGTAACGGTCAAAGATTAGCTGGATGGACGAGAATTGTTGGCTCTAGCCAATGAAAATTGAGCCCAAGAAAAACAAGATAAAGTCTCAGAGCAAAAGCCCATATAGATCTGTTCGCGTCAGTAAAAAACACAGACATTCATCGTGATATGAAACTAGTTTCGGGTAGGCGCCGTCAGCTCCGAAAACTGGCGAGAAATTGGCCAGAGTCGGCGCGAGTCCGATGGGGCCGAAGAGGCCGACAGCTCCGATAAGCCACTTGAACGGCCAGGATCGTAATCATCTGGTGGAACTGACTCGTGTCGTGGTCTGTGCTATCTGCACCCCAGACAAGCTTAGAGTGGGCACGGGGCACTTATCATAATCCATGCCGGCCTCGGGGGCAAGAAAACATTCAGACCATCATATACGGTGTCAAAATAATCTCAGTAAAACTTATCTAAAGCTCATAGTAATTTACCCAAGTCTTTTAGTCATTTAGGATCAAGGCCCTAAGTTTTTCCTTCTCCCATGTCCAGGCCCCACGGCCAAGGCCCAAGTGTAACCACAAGTATCTCCCATTTAGCTTTCTCACCAACTTGGACTGTCCAGGTTCTTCTCTCTTACCATATTCAAAGAAGAACTCATCATGACTGCAAAGTGGGAAAGCATTGATGATGAGAGCGAGGCCTTTCTCGCTGAGGTGCGGCAACTCGAAGCCTGGTGGCAAACAGATCGTCAAAAACACATTAAACGGTTAGTAAAATTCGCTGGTGTCTACCTCCTCCTCCCTGATCCTTGAGGCCTAACTTACCCTGCAGACCGTACACAGCCGAGTCCATCGCAGCCCTGCGGAACGTTGGACTTAAGATCGAGTACCCATCGAGTGCACAGGGCCTCAAGCTGTGGCGTATGCTGAAAGAACACAATGCCAATGGTACCTACGACTTGACGTTTGGCACAACGGAGCCCTTGGTCGCCAGAGAAATAGCCACCTCCAGTGAGATTTCCTACCTCCTCAACATTCCAAGTTCTTATACCTTAGAAGTGAAAACTATATACGTTTCCGGCGGGCTCGCCGGCCATGCTCAAGCCAACTTCCCCGGCGACGACCACGCGGACTACCCGGCCGACCTCGTGCCATCGATCGTAAAGCGCATATTCAATACCCAGCTCTTCCAGGACCAGAGCCAGAACCAGCTGCGCATGAAATACCCCAAGAAAGAACGCAAACACCTCGAATGTATCGACTACATGCTTCCTATAGTCGCAGATGCAGACATGGGCTTTGGAACCCTCACCGGATGTATGAAGCTGGTTCGGAGCTTTGTCGAGGCTGGTGTCGCCATGATTCACATCGATGATCTTGCCATGGGTCTTAAGAAATTTACTAATGGAGAGGGGAGAACTATTGTACCGACCTCGGAGTACCTAACAAGATTGACCGCTGTGAGGATGACCTTTGATATAATGGGGTATGTATCTTTATTCAACCATCATTTGGAACTAGTCACTTAGTCGCGAATGTAGTGTCGATACAATGCTACTATGTAGATGCGATAGCCATGGTGCTGAGTTCATCACAAGGTAAGTTAGCAGAGCCGACCCTAACCACAAGAGTACCAGTGATCTCATCAGACACAACCATACAGTGTATCAGATCCCAGGGATCATCCATACGTCCTCGGTGCCACAAAAACCATTCGCCCATTCGCCGAAATCATAACCGAGGCTGCCAAAACTGGGAAACCATATTCCACCGCAAAGTCAGAGTGGAAAGCAGCTGCTGGATTGATGACATTCGACGAGGCTGTGCGAGCCCACGCCACCGATGACCAGTACAAGCCTTACGTAGACAGTGTTATTGGCAAGGTTGTGGCACTGCGTGAGCGACAAGCACTTGCGGAGCGCTTGCTTGGAAAGCGCGTTGTGTTTGACTGGGAGCTTCCGAGGACACCTTTGGGGCAATACATGTGGCAGTGGTCATCCCAAGCCGTCATCGACCGGTGCCTCGTTGCCGCTCCGTTAGGGGACCTTTCGTGGAGTCGCCAAGGTGAGATACGAATGCCCAATCCATCTCCCCACCGCGCGTGCGCTTCAAGCTAACAAGGAAAATGCAGACAAGCCAAGTAAGATGATTCTCAACCTGTTACATCACCTCATAAATTTACATTTTCCTTGTTTTATACACCACTAACGTTTTATCAACAGATAAGAAAGACATGCACGAGTTCCACACCGCCATACGAGCAGTTTACCCTGACCGTATGTTCGCTTTTGGTTTCACTGGGTCCTACGACTTCTCGCAGGGGGGCTATTCTCCAGAGGAGGTCGAGTCCTTTCATTCCGATATCGCCAAATTGGGCGTCGTGTGGCAGTTCCAGCCCGTCTGGGCTATGCAAGGTCCTAGTGTACAAACCCGACAGTTTGCTGATAGATTTGCCAAGGGGGGCATGGCGTACTATATACGTGAAGTCGCTGCGCCAGCCATTACAAGCATGCCCAAAGACGGCAAAGGCAATCCAATCTCGCGCGGGGGTCATCTAGCTGATGCTTTCTTCGATGTAGTAGCAGGGCGCGACATTGCCTACAGGGAATGAGACAGGCATTTCCTTAGGAATACCATTTCTACTCAATTGAAACCATTGGCTACTTGATATTATAACCACATAAAGCTATCTGCCTACTATCGTCACAAGTATTTCCAGCTGTCCAATTTGGGTTTCATAAATAGTCTGCCAAGTCAAAGTACGCAGGGAATTCGACGGATGAGTCTCCTATGCTTTGAAGTCCAGGCCCAGCAACATCCAGCTGTAAGGCTGAGGGGGTCAATGGCTGGAAAAAGTCGACGGGAATCTCCAATTGCTGTGATGGTGAATCGTATCTATGTCCTTGCGAAGTGCTGTTCGCCTGGCCTATGACGGGAGCTTGTGGCGCCTGGTCATGAAAAGGAAAGTCTTCTGTCGCAATCTCCCGGATCATACGTAGAGTATCTCTATGGACAACGATTGGCTCGATCTGCTGGAGTAACGAGAGGAGGCTTTTTCTAGCTTCCGGTCTCACCCTCCGTCCATCTGGGGCAGTTCTAGCCAACGCATTCTCGAACAGAGGAACCTCACGAGCAAGAATATCGAAGGTGTCTCTAATACATTTAGCCTGAGGCCAACGCTCAGCTATGAGCGTGAGAGTGATACTGCATGCTCTCACAGCCTCAGGAATATCGGGATGCTCGTATATAGCTGGCCTTATCTGAGGCGGGGTAGCAAAGAATGTATACAGCAGAGACACGCCACACTTGAACTGGGCAATGAGCCCTAGCCAGAGGTCGGTAACGGTGGTGTCTTTTTGAAACTTTCGGAATATGAGACACGCTTGCATACAGGCTTTGACGGTCCAGGTCCCTGCTGAGTAGAAGACTGAAGTCTTGGTGGGTTGATAGAGCATGCTGAGACTGTAGCTGTACATCATGTTGATCCAGTCACTGCCTGCAAGGTTTTGCGACGGAGTGTCGGCATATCGATCCCAGAGTGATCTCCACCGATCAAGCTTTTCCAGGACCCGAAGGCGCCAACCATCATTCTGATCAAGATGTTGGCTGTAATCGCGATGGAGCGTAGAGTTGAGAATTTCGCTTTGGATTTGGCGACAATAGACAACATGCAGAGCCGCTGACACATCCGTGAAGCGAGAAACTCCCTGGACTTCATCGGGAAATGCGTTATTACATCTATCATCGAGCTCCATATCGTCAATGTTGGCGTACATCTTGACGCTGATCTGGGAGTCTGGAATGGACATGGGCAGGTGATACGTCCCACCAACCGTCCGATCAAGTTTGTAGGTACACCAGAAGATGCGCCGACGAAGCTGAATTCGAATACGGGCAGCAACGTCGACAGGAGCGGGCTCGGCAGAATCACAGTGCAGCTGAGCCATGACGCAGTACCTCATGGCGGCTGATGTGATCGTAATAATGCGCTCTGTTGAAGGCGAGTAGATAGCATGCATGGCAATGATCAGATATGCTTGTATGTGGAGCAACTGGTCAGGCTCCTTGAAGACATGCGCGAGATATTGCGTGACGGCTTTGCTGTAGAAATCTTCCTGCTTCAGTCCAGAAAAGAGGTTTGGACCGCTCTTCCCTAGTAACAGACTGATCGAGTAGATCATGCTGATAAAGAATAGGGTACAAGGTTCAGACGATCGCTCGTGGCGGTTTCTAAGCTGATAAAGGCGGAGAAAAGGGTATCGCCATTGAACTTTGTCATTGTAGATGCTGAATAGTGTTTCCTCTGTCGCACTGTCAACCATATCGTCGAGCTCTCCTTGGGGACAAGTTCTTTGTATGGCATCTGCTGTGACACTAGGCGAACCGATTTCCGAGATTGGTGCCGCAAAAGCAGCCAGTAGTGCCATGGCCGGTGTACTCCTTGACAAATGCGATGTGTCCGCCAGGATGGAAGGCGATGCAGCAGTGGCGTCAAGAGCTGGCATTTGCTGGACATGAGCCTGGGAGCTATCAGATTCGCCAGGGTCAGTTCTCAGGCTCGATCGCTGTGTCATCTGCTCAATTCGGGAGATGCGCTCATCAAGGGCAGCCATCTCAGCTGATCGGTCGACACGATCTTGGATTGGACCTTCTGCAATTGGGCGGGTAGAAGTAGAAGAAGACGCAGCGAAGCATTGCTCGTCAGCCTTGACGCAATTACCGCAGGGCTTGCGGTAGTCACATTTTTGCTATAGGCGATTTCGATAAGTCTTACTTGATCGATCCAATGGGCGATAGACCAATGCAGAGTGACTTACCTTGCGCCTCCTACATCGCAGACATGCTTGTGTTTTTTGACGCTTTGTTGGCCGTGGATCATGATGGGAATGGCCGAGAGCATCATGGACTTCAGAAGCAGGAAATGATTGATGAGCAGGGGAAAAGGACGAGGAAGCTGAAGGGGAATGGGAAGAAAGATCAACAGCTACAGGAGGAAGACCACTTTCGCCGAGGTTAGAGACCATCACTTGCTCGACAGCTTAGGCAAATGTGCAGTTTGAAATAGAAACAATAAGAAGATCAATTCCAACTCCTGGAGTGATGTCCTTCACTGGGTGACAGATGGCGTTGTTTGAATTTCCTAGAATTAGAACTCAATGCTAGAGGCAGTATAAAACTACGGATAGCATGCTCGCTAAGATGCCATAGGCAAAGAATCACGTGTTGAGAACCGAAGGTCTGTCGGAGTCGGATTAAGTAATTTCCTCTCTGGGGTGGCTCTACTGTTGTGGAATTGAGTAAAGCTAAGTTGGCCGATTCCTAGCTGTTGATGCAGAGCTCGCTTATCGTTACCGGCATCCAATTCTCACTTCTCAGTAATTTTTTACCGCTTCGTAAAACTTCAATAACTGCATTTGAGTTTTTCACAGGAGAAAATCGAGGCGAGAGTGGTGTAGCTAGATTGTCTGCATAACTTTCTCTCCTTATGGCCCAGCACATTGCTCGACATCGAGGCTCTTCAAGTTTACCAATTATCAAATAATGATGAAAAATACGTATATAATATTTACAGTACTTGTCAGTTAAACCAGAGAGCTGTTCTGTTTGGTGCCTTACATTCTTCTAGGATTTAAAGCTAATATCCTCTCAATAACTCCCTTGGAGAGGAATGCTACAAAGTCAAGAGGGACCAATTCCGTGCGGTATGCCTTGCCTCGTCCTTGAAGATATCCCTTGCAATCCTTAACGTTTGGGAGCGTGATATGGGTTTTTTAAACGCCATCTGGCTCTGTTGTTGGTGCGCGGCTGAGATTGAATTTCAGATTGCCAACCCACTTCCTCAAGAAGTTGCAGTTCAATTGCGCCTCCCACAGCAAAGTCCCACTGAGGAGAACAAAGTAAACAAAGTATAATATTAGCCAAGAACTGCAACTCGAGCGCTATGTCCCCCTTTAACAGATGATAACGTACAACTCATGGATTTTGACCTCATGAGGACTGGGCTACTGAGACTGACCAGGTTTGCTGCCCTTCCCCTTAGTCTTGCCAGGTACCAAAGACATGAAACCAGAGAAATTTCAATTATTTCCAAGGCAGCCACAATCTCATTATAAATTTCAAAGTGTGGCTAGGTAACAGTCTAAAGAGCTATGATGGTACCAGGGCTTTTATATCCCTAATAGCTAACGGTAGTCAAAGGAAGCACTTGCATCAAGCCGTAGGCTATTGCTTGCCCGCTTGAGCAATATCTTTATCTATCCCAGACCATTACGAGAAAAACTTCCTCAAAAAGCGAAACAAAATTGTTTGGGCTTACTTCCCTGTCTGGATGGTGTCTAAGACGTTGGGCCCATGTTACAACCTCCGGGCGCCATGGCCAACGGTTCCTCAGCTAAAATAGGTGTATGAAGTATCTTTTGGATGATGCTACAGAGCCATTCACACGTTCCTCCCCATTCTAGGTAAGATCCGATGCTCGGTGCCCTTCCAAGAAAGCTTTTCATGATACACACTTTGGCCTTCCGACATCCAAGCAAGTTGGACATATTCCTAGTGGTCTCGTACTTACGTGATCCCTCCGCGATGCGGTACGTGGTCTCAAGCTAGGTCAAATTGTTGCGATTGACCGCTGTACCATTGGTCGAGAACATGGGCCCCCTGGTACTGGTTAACGTGGGAGTAGGGCCTATACCATATACCAACACGAACACCTTTCCTTATTCCGTTATTAGTGCTCTGGACTGATTTCCAAGCCTTGTTCACTGCTTCTGGGCCCTCGCAGGTGTCGCGGATCTAAACATGTTGGGACTTACTACGGAATTTCCGTTAAAGTAACCATGATCCATTTGGAGAAACGTATTCCATGTCGTTTTAGCCTTCGGGGTTCATCGGAAATGGCGACTGGCATCGAAACCGGCGAAGGCATGCTGATCACATAAGCCTTGGAGTCTAACAGAGAAAGCGTCTATGTCGGCGGCCGCCACTTAGAGGACCTTGAGTAAAGATACAAAACTTAGGCGAAAGGTCCTTGAAGGATTCATGCACTCCCCGGCCATGTCATGTAGAAGCTTGCTATCTGTCCTGGGATGGAACTGCCCCATTAGGGTAAGCCATCGGAATATCTAACATTTCAGCCACAAGTGATACCTTTAGACACTAGCGAGAGTAAGGAGTATATTCCCCGTAGGCGTTGATTTGTGCAATTGAACTCTGTCTTGGGGCAGAAGCCTCTCTCAACCCCCCAACGTCACTACAGCGAGTGACAGGGGTGACAACGGGCGTTTCTTACTTACAAATAGAATAATGCTAACTATCAGGATGTTGTGAATGCCTCATGGCCCTTTTTGGAAAAGCGAAAACGCCTAGTGGAGCTAGTAACGGCCAAGCCAACGGGCAGACCGAAGACCATATATGTGGGTATAGACTCACAGGGGACTAGTCGACCGATATTCCACGATGATCACGATCAATCCACAGTGGCGGACCGTGCTTAGTAGCTCCATTGATCTCTCTACTAACAAGTCGCTCCCGCGCGCACTCGCTTATAATTGTGGCACCGCCGAGTCCCGGATGATACGGAGCACACCGTAGGCTTTGCCGTTATTGTGTTTCATAAGGGAAGGGGAAAAAGGCTTAATACTAGTGATTGCATCAACATTATTTGGCCCTCACGTGATAGTTCTTGTTCTCAGCCAGACAGTTGTGTTTAGAACAAGATCTTCGAGGCACAGTAGATCAGTTACAGCCAGGCCTGGCGATCATAGCAGGGTAAGAAAGTTAGTATAGCCAGTGGCAGGGTCATGGTACAGGGCTTTTCCCACCGTGCTTGCTTAACCACAACCTCTTGAATGGATACAATGTTATGGTCATTGACATGCAATTGAGGATCCTCGGATGAACTGAGATGACATGGAAATGCTATCAGAGTTGAACCTGGCCAAGAGCTGATGCAAGCCACGCCACATCACTGGACTGAAATACAGACCTCGGTAACAATGAGGAGATCAGTGACGTCGTGTGTGAAGTCGGAAGACAGGCTGAGCTCCAAATGAAGGGTCGGGTCGTGGCTCGTTTGTGGAGCCAGGGTGATCACAACACAGCCCTATTCCCCTCACTGCTACGACAATTTCCAAGTATTATACGGACCAACAAGGATTGCATGCAGTACTAGGCCAACGGCTGACGTAGCTGTTGCTAAACCGACGGAGTGTCAAGCAATCCCGCCCGCGGAGATATGATCTGCCACCATGAGAATATGCTTTAGGGCTGCCAACACCGGAATTATAACACGGCAATGGCCAACATGAAACGTTGCAATGTACATGGATAGCCAGATCAGGTTATGACATATCATACTGGCATGCTTCTCTCCAAAACTGTCTCGATTTGTCTAGTGTGCAAACACTTGTACCTGTCGTAGCGACTTGTGGCTGAGAGCTTAATCAGCATTCGGAATTTAGCATCCAAACAATCCGCGAATCTCGGAATTACGGCTCTATATCGGCTCGGACAAGTCCGATCTGGTCGAGTCTCCATTGGCCAATGGCTTACACTAACACATGCACTAAATCGCGCACCGATCAAGTGCCATGGATTGATCATTGGGGAACACATTTGAGGCTTCTTCAGGTTAGCATGGCTGAGGCTCGCGGTGGATCTCTGCGTTTAGGCTGTGTCTTTTCAGCTGCCTTGGTCCCGACAACATCAGACGATATCTTGGATCCCACAGCATGTCACTGGTGGTCACCTGGTGATCCTTTGTGATCCTTGGTTTCAGTTAGACTTTCCACAAACAGGGGCAGATCGAATTGAAACATTACGAGATACTTGATTCAAAAGCATCGCGGAACCGGAAGAACTTGGCGCAGACTAACGGTTCATGACAGCCTGCTAGCCCATGTGCACAGACGGTTGACTATGAGCCAGGTTGGATCTACACGTTAAGAACCTCGTTTTGATAGTATTGCAGGCGTCAGGGTTCGATATGGAGACCTTTGCTAAAAGCTATATCAAGGCTCGACTGTTCTTGGTGTATTACAGAGCAAAATGAAAAACATTGATTTCTCCAACCGAGCCAAGCCAACATCCTTCAAGCTCCAGGTCAACAGAATGTCACGCCAAGCCACGAAGCAGCACGGGGCCACTCGTACCAACGGTTCGTAAAGGATGCATGCTCTACGTCAACATTGAACAAAATAACTGACCCCTACAAGAAAACACTTCACGCAGAATGCTGTGTCGAGAGGCAAGAGTCCAACAGCAATACCTGCAGCGGCTGGGTCTTGAGGTCCAGACCTTGAAGTTACAGCGAGATCGGGACCCTGTGATTCAGGCTCTGACTAAGCGTAACGAGTGTCTGGAGAAAGAGATACAGTATCTGCATACCCAAGCGATGATCATGGCTCGGAAGATGTTTGAGAAAGACAACAATTAGAATTTGAAAGTCCAGGCAGTGTTTGAATGAATTCAAGATTTCCTTATTCCCCAGCCTCTAGTTATGGTGGATGGGATGGAGGCTCAGAGCTCTGAGAGGCCTCCATTAGCAGCATGTAGTGGTTGCCTTGTGCATGAAGCCAGTAAACGCCATGATATACGTAGCAAACCGGGGCACCATATATTACGCCCGCAAGCGACGTTCCCCGATATACATCGTCTTGTCAAACCATCATGAGAATGACCCCACCGACATTCACTGATGAGACGACAAAAGATGCTCTTGTTGTCTTGGAAGCGTACCTTTAAGGTAAATTTGTCTTCGTCTCACAGCATCTTCGTCTAGCTGAAGCCGAATCTACAATACAAGACGGATCCATCTTGGCCTACGAGTTTGGGAGTTCTGGAGTGGAGAAATGGCATGACTGTCGCTGCTGGGGCCAGGGATCCTGGCAAGGCAGTTTCATCGTCTCAAAAGAGGCAATCTCAGATGATAATCCGTTGGCCAAGCCTGGTGGCTTTTCCAAAGCGACAGTTGATAAGTATTGAAGCGGCATGCGGCATTTGGGCTTCGTGGAAGATGATGATAATCTTGGCACCAGCGAGACCAACGTATCGAACATTCTGAGTCATATATCTCTCCGCACAGGGATCGCCCGGGAGCAACGACGTGTTATCCACAAGAACGATCTCAATGTTTGGCCTGAATTGAGGCCTGAGCGTCCAACTTTGGAGGGTGGATCATCGCAAGGCTGTTAGACATGCTCGGCCGAGCACTAGCCCAGCCTCTGAATAACAGCAGGGGTTTAGTCGACGGCAAAATTGAATCAACGCGTTGGATATGGATACTCATGTTAGCCGCGGTTGAGGTGCTTGGGCTAATGATAGACACCAGGGGCCCCTAGCAAACTGCCAGAGGCTGGATGAGGAATGCTGTGGCGGGGATCCCGAGGGCTTCGCTTATCGCTAACAAGAGGGGAGAAACAAAATCCAAGGACTGAGGAAAAGCCTCTGCCCCACCGCCATGGCGCAAGCCAAGCTGTTGGTCCCTTACAAGTGGTGCCAACCAAGGCGATTAGTAAATAGGGCCATTTCTAAGACTGTCGATTTAGACCCTATCTACATGGACATTTAAGAGACACCACGGCGTCGTTGGATTCTCATCTACAAGCGAACAATTAATCAAGCATTCACATCTCATACAATACACACTACCATGCTCGCAAAATCAGAAACAGATTCATCGTCTCTCCACCGTTTCCGCTCAATTCCTACTCCTTTCTTCGTGCGTACCCGCTATGCATTTGAGCCCCCAGCCGCACCCTCAGCTATCACCCATGTACTCTCCTTTGGCCCCGGTGAGTTGGCCATCATTCACCATATCGAGCCTTCTGGCTGGGGCGAAGGCAATATCCTGAAGACTGGTCGTCGAGGGTGGATTCCATCAAACTATTGTCTTCTCTATAGCCCAGAGCCGATGAGACCGCTTCTACAGACCATGATTCCATTTTCAGATGATGCCAATGCCATGGAAGCAAAGCTGCGCACTACTAAGCAAGGCAACAGCCAGGTTGTTGAAAGCTTGTAAAAAGTCCTAGTACGTACAGTTCTTATCTTCTATCACTCCATCCAACTGATTCCCCGTCTCAAGGTGCTCGAATACTCCCTTAGATCGATGAATCTCTCGATAGATACCGCCGAGAACCTACAGACACTTCGTTTATCGCTCCTTAAGCGCGTTTCCCTCCTCGACCAATACATTAAGAACACAAAGTCGTTCGTGTCTCACCAACCGGAAGATGGCACCGACCCTGCGATAACTTCTGCCACAGAGCTTCAGAAATTGACATGGGGAATCATAGTCTCCGCAGACAATTTTATGAATTTTGTTCTCGGGATCAAGTCACGCTTGAGCTCTCGCTCCAGTCTCGTCGAAACGGTCGAAATAGAAGAGTCGATCGAATCCACGACAGATGTTGGCGTTGCGCAAGAGAAAAAGAATGTTCGATTTGCGCTCGCAGATTCAAGCACAAGACATTCCATCCAAACAGTCCGATCAGAAATCTTTCCGAAATTACAAAGCAAGGTCGAGACTACTACACAACAAGGAGGGACAGCCGGTAGCTCCGACCCTGAAAGTCTTGCTTTGTCTAGGCCTCAAAGGGGCCACTTTTCGCTAGCAGAACTCGTCAAATACCTCACCCACAACGAAGACGAGTCCAAGACAGATCAGTTTGAGTCTACCTTCTTCCTCACCTGGAAGCTGCTTTGCACAGCACCCGAGCTGCTCACTGCTTTGGTGTTCCAATTCGATCTGGCTCAGCTCGCCCCCGAGCCAGAACAGAACAAAGTGCGGTTTCGAGTATGTCATCTTCTCCGGCGCTGGCTTGACTCGAATTGGGATCCAGGCGCAGATGCACAAGTGTTGGCTTCGTTGGAAGCTTTCCTCAAACAACAAGTCTACCAATTCTTACCACGATCTTCGGCATTGCTGTTCAGCGTTCTGCAGCGTGCCAGGTCAAAATCAGCCAGCAAGCAGTCTGACGCTCCATCCACTACCCAAGACGCAGACTGCAGGAAGTGTGAACACAATCGTGATGGTGGCTCATTACAGGGTCCATCGAGGTTTAGCGTCTCAAAACCAAATGAGAATTGGGCTGTTCACCACATGTCATATGTATACCTTGCTTCCCAGATCTCTGTGAAGCAGATGACTCTTTTCTGTTCCATTCAGTCGAGCGAACTCCTCGGCGGGAAGTGGCTAGGCAATGGGGCAGCAGAGTCTCCTAATGTGGTCGCTATGTGTCATCTCACGAATAGCATCTGCAATTGGGTCAAGGAGAGCATCCTGGTAGAAGTTGATGCCAGAATCCGTGGACTTGCTGCAGAAAAATGGATACTAATTGCAAATTATATGTTCCAGATAGGGAACTTTGATGGTCTAGTTGCTGTCACTTCTGGCCTAGATGATAGCTCTATAATCAGGCTTCAGGCTTCGTGGCAGCATGTCTCGCCGCCAGCTATCGAGATACTGCAGTCTCTGAAAAGAATCATCGACCCTTCGCAGAACCGCAGGACTCTTCGCGCTTTGTTCGCCTCCTCAACTAAGCCTCACCTCCCGTTCCTTGGGGCTTACCTGAGTGAACTGATCTTTACCGAGGTGCGATCTGAAGAAGCCAGTCATAGAAAGACGGGCGGGCCTTCCAGCCCTGACAGCCTACTTATCAATTGGAAAATGTACGCTCGCATAGCCTCTATCATCACCGTGGTCATGGACAGCCAGGTGCCGTTTCCCATAGCTCGGGATGTTGAAATGCAGAGGTGGATAGAGTCCAGACTTTCTAACCTATGGTGTACGGACCAGAAGTGTTTGCAGACGGCGTACTACAACAGAAGCAAGTGCCTGGAACCAGCTGGGAAAGGGGCAAAGCATCAGCATAGCTTTCGATCACTCATCCAGGCTGCTAAGAGCAAAGGCCATAAAGCACCATTGGCAAAATAGATACTAGAGGGTATATATTAATTGTGCAAGATTGGTTTCTCTTACAGCGTAAATGATGGGCCTCGATTTCAGTTGACTTTAAAGCCAATAAGTCAATCCAGTATATGTACAATTTGACTTTACTCTCCCCTCATTCCTCCAGTTTATGCACATTTATCTTTCTGACTACTTCCTCAATGCGACTTCAGCCAGGGCCATAGGTTGACCGACTATCTCCAATTACGGTCCAGAACTCTTCTACAAACTCTTGCTGCCCAGTGGTCGCCGGCCTAACAGCAAGATATCGTCTATTATCTAGAGGAGGATGCATCTTGCCGGGATGTCCATCCACCATGATACCTCCAGCCTCCAATAAAACACACCAGGCTGCTGCCACATCCCACGCCCAGCAGCCACATTCCCAGAACGCATCCTGCTGCCCTGCGGCAACACGACAGATTGCGATGGCGGCTGAGCCCATGAAACGGAGAGAATTGGCAAAGTGACCCCCTGAGGCGACAGTCCTGGCCAACTTTGTAAATACCTTGAGGTTCAGATCAAAGTTGGGACCTTCTCTATCGCTGCCCCATTCCAAACCAATACTGGCTGTTTGCAGATTCTCTAGAGGTAACGAACTAAGTGGCAATTTCCTTGGCGTCGAGCTACCTTGTGAGACGAATGCTCCTCCGCCTCGGACAGCACTCCAAAGCTCATCTTGAAACGGGTTATAAACCACGCCAATAGTAGGTTGTCTATGTATAACGAGAGCTATGGACACGCAGACCACTGGGAATCCATGAACAAAGTTGGATGTGCCATCGATCGGGTCCACGATGAATGTTGGTTCGTCGGTGAGGGTGGTGCCATCCTTGAATGTCTCTTCCCCGATAAAGGCGAACGTTGGGAACTGTTGTTGAAGTCTTTCGTAGATGACCATTTCGACGGCCTGGTCTGTCTCGGTAACAATATCTGCGGCTGGAAGAATGTTAGTAAGATAGCTAAGAATTGGAGGAGAAATACTGGCTGTTTTTCTTTGAGGATGTGGTTGACAACGTTGGCCGTGCAGCATAAATCATCTCGCCAGCCTCTTTTGCGACGTCAACACAAAAAGCACATATATTTTGCAAATCATAACTGGCCATTTTGGCTGACAAGTGTCCGTTTTAATGCTTTCTAGGCCTTGTCGTGTAATATTGGGAAGTGGATGAAGCAGCCACGACACTCCATGAGGCAAGGCGAGAATAAATATCCATTCACCGAATGCGGCTTTGGGTTCGCTCTTGGGGATTGAGACTTGGTCTCATTTAGCCTACCCCATTTCGCCATTCGGCACGAGATAAGAAGTCTCGGCTAGCGATATCGGGTGCCCCACGTGGTCCTAATTATAATCAGACGATGCAACTACATGCTACTGTTTAAGGCTAGTCAAGGGATGGCACAGTACGTTAAGACTGAGGCAATTTCGTATCGTACTCTTTGTTCATCCGTCCTCCGGGCCAAGGATTGCAATGTCAGAAACGAATGGAACACACCAGCCGCAACAGTACCGCGGCCGGGTGCGGACCGGCTGTCTGACCTGTCGATCTAGAAAGGTTCGATGCGACGAAGCGAAGCCGACCTGTCGTAACTGCACAAAGTCACAGCGCTTCTGCGAGTACAAACCAAAACAAGCCCAACAGCGAGTCTCAAAAGATTCCAATCAATTCTCGCCTGCCAAGGAAACGATTGAAGTCGCACCTGTACCTCAGCCCACTCCCCCGTCTTCCGGATATTGTGAAAGTAGCACCTCCAGCACGGTCTCTCCACTAGAAACAAGTCGCCAAAATGCATCTCATCACCCCGACAACTGGTCACTGGATGCACCCTTGGTCATTGACACTGGGTTGGAGGGACTGAGCGGCGGTCCGCTATCCACTCAAGATAACCAACCGGAAACGGACTCAACGTCGAGCCTCATATCGCGAGACATCCAGTTATGCACAACCATGGATCTTCTCAGAGCGCATGATGAGCATCTTCAATCATCAACAGTGTTTCTGGGGCTGGTGGAGTGCCCTGGCATCACGCCATTCGACAGAGTCAATTGGCATCATGCAAAGTACCAAATTGTCGAGCGATATAAGTCTTGTCGAGCCGTCAGCCAAGCTATCACTGCCATATCTACACTACATCATACTATGATGTATAACCTATCACCAGCGAGGGCTATAGATTACGCTATTCATGCCAGGGCGTCACTTGACGAACTCTTGGATGAACATAACCATGATTTCAGCACAGTCTTAGTAGCCATATTCATTTTATGTGTCTTCGAGCTTATTCTTTCTGATGAGGAGACTATTGCCTTCAAAGATCCAAGTCAAGCCTTGCTACAGAGGGTCAAGTCCTGGGCACAGAGCCCTTTGACACATCCGCCGTTATGCAAACGTCTGATTACATGGTTAAAGATCATCCAAACTATCACCAACCGAGGTGGCGGGAGAGGACTGCTCTCAGAAGGACTCTACGAGATGTTGCCAAACTACGAGGGGCCACTGCCTTTGTTGGAGACACTACCAGGCCATCGGCAGGATGTGTCGACGGACTTACATCAAGTCCTCAGTGCTCCATTGTTTGATTTTTACTTTCAGTTGCAGATTATATCTGGAAGAATTGCAAAGGAGACACACTATCGTCGCACGCGTAACTCTGGAAGTGACCAGGATGAAGTCGTCAGAAATATCACTGTAATCAAATCACAACTTCAGGCTTTATGGGAAAGTCGATCGATGATACAACGTCAAACAGCCAAAGATATCCGTTCTCAATTGGCGCCCAATATTGCAAACATCATCATAGATCTCATTCGTATATGCAATACAGCCTATTATGCAGAGTATGTTGAGATAGATCGGGTTCTCGGGGATCCATTGACGGAATGGACTGGGTCGAGAGAGGCAATACAGTCCATTAAGCAAATTGTGGATGATGACTGGGAAGAAAACCGTGGTAAAGGACTGAATCCCGGATATCTTCGAGCCCTCTTTCTTTGCGCGATTGAGTGTATGGACCGAGAGCAAAATCAGTGGGCCGTCGAGAGAATTCGCGACATACGTGGCGCATCATATAGGAGTAAGTTCTTTGCAGATTTTGGCAGGGCCCTCTCGGAGGCACAGATCGAGAGGGAGAGGCGGGTTACGTCTAAATACTTTTGCATTTGGTATTTTGGTGGGCCGCCCCCTTTTTTATAGGGAAGTCAACGGATCTCATGAATTGACCTAGATTTACTAGACTAATACTATATAACGCCTCGTTCTCCATATTCTATTACCAAAGACTCACCTCTCCAATCTTGTCAAAAGGCTAGACTAATGGGCTATTATCCACCTATCTTCTTTAGTTCCTCTCCTTGCCATTGTCGCCAACCACAGCCTCTACCAAATCAACGGAAGTTTTGGAGAAAGAACGCAGGCTTGCTTTACGGTTGAACAAGATATCCACCTCGGCTGCTGTGCGATCCTTTGTTTCCGGCACACAGAAGTAAGCAAAGATAAAGGAAATAAGACAACCACCTGCCCAGAAGAAGCCTGTTTTGGCTCCCCAGTTCCAAGCGGTCGGATTGAGCTGATATGGTGTGAGAACGCCAGCGGTAATTGAAGTAATTGTGTAAAACCATCTAGCAAGCACGACTGTCTTGCTGCATAGGAGTGTTGACGGGACCTCTGAGCATATCGCGTTTGTCAGAGGACCCATCGTCGCGTTGTAAAGGAATGACGAGACGATGAGGAGGGCAGCAATGGCCCACGAATATGAATGGTCAGAGGAGTTAGCTTGAGGAATTCCGATACCGCCGATGAGTATCATGAGAACAAGCATGAGGAAAAGACTCCAGACATATATAGATCGACGGCCAAAAAGAGTTAACAGTGGCCACTAAGGTTTCTGTTAATGAACATATTAATTTAATCTTGGCAAGGGAACTTACCGACACGAGTCCACCAACCAATGCCAGTGAATAGTTGACAATGGTCATGTTGGACGCTTGAGTTGTTGGAAAGCCAGCTTGCTCCATGAAATAAGTTGAGTAGCTCCGTAGAGGGTTGCCGCTGAGAGTCTGAATACAGTAGACACCAATTGCAATCAGTGTTCTCTTCAGATCGGTCCCTTTGAAGCAGGCCAGGTATGATGTCTCAGCGCTAATGGCCCTCTCGAAATTGGTCGTCACTACCATAAAAGAGACAGCCTTGTCGATGTCGAAGTGAGCGTGTTCCGTAGATGTGAGTCGCTTTAGTACCTTTTTTGCTTCTTCCAATCTTCCTCTTCGGACGAGCCACCACGGCGATTCAGGTGCGAAATAGAGGCTTGGGACCAGAATAAGGGGCCAAACCCATCTTCCATGTGTTAGCCGATATGTTCTGTTAGAACGGAATCCAAACACTTTTCACATACTGTATGGCAAACGGAATTCTATATCCCCACTCATCGCCACGTACGAGAAGGGCTCGAAGAATGCCAGCGCCGATAAGATGACCGATTGCCTAAACATCGTCAGCCTCACTCTATTACAGATCGCACATTCGGATACATCATACCCAGCAGGTGTTCACCCAAGTTGTCAAATAAGCCTGAAGACAAACGGGTGATATTTCCTTAGCATACACGACAGGAATCGTCTGGTAGAGACCCATGAAAACCCCTAGGGTTGAGTTATTAGATAGGGTCATGATGACAACGGTTTTGATCAGCTCACCAAATAGAACTTGGCCAACCTCAAGCACCGCAAGGCTAGGAGCAAAGAAGGGGAAAAAGATAAAGGCAGCACTGGCAGTCAGACCAAGGGTCATGGTCTTGCGGAAGCCGAACCTCTCGGTCATATAACCAGACACCAATAAGCCAACCAACTGGCCACAAGCACTGCCGTTGGTAAGACCAGCCTGCCAAGGAGCCGGGATCTGATAAGTGTCGCCTTTGGCAGGCTGCCCATAGCGCTTCCGGAACTCTGGCAGGCCGAACATATTGCCCATGAGCATTGTGTCATAGCCTTCCATGAAGATGGCGGTAGACATGAGAAGAGCCCATAAAACTGATTTACGATACAGCTTCAGGGCATCGAAGAACTTGAGGTCATGCTCTTGAGCATTGGCATCTTGCGCGTCGGCGATCCAATCAAGTTGAGTAGTCGCGGGGCCGTCAAGGGTTTTGGCCGTGTTGTTGGAATGAGACATTGGTTCTGTTTGCTTGTCTATGTAGTCCGGATTGTTTTAGTTTGGTGACGGTGAAGGCAGGCAGGTAATGCTAATATCAACGTCTTTATATGATATATATAGTAGGACGCAATATACACAACCGTAGCTCATACATTCGGCAGTAAGAAACGACCAGCCAGTCAATAAAGGTTAACCGCCAATCATATTCATCCAATGTTCCCCGTGGGCAAATATTCATTAAGCTTTCCCAGCTAATTGACGCTAGTCCGTAAGTATCTATCGAAGTTACAGAATGCTTATCTCGAGCCGAGTCTTATCCAGGCTACGTATTCGCTCTGGTGCGCCAACATGGTTCCCTTGACATGATTTCGTCAACGCTGTATTCTTATTGGCAGCACGGAGTAGCCTAGGAATGATCAAGTCACAAAGCTCCTATCTCGTGCCGAGGCGTTATCTTGTGCCGAAACTATAGGCCTTTTGCCGTTAGCCTTTGTCCACATGGGATCTATAAGAAACCCAAGACCAGAAGCTCTCGGACCGACGACAGTCAATCACATTTCCCTTTTCTTCTCTGATAGGTTTTCAGCGCAAACTTTGACATCGCAAGACGCAAAATGATTTTCGGTTCTGTAGCCGAAATGGCGACTGACGGCCAAGTTTATCCACCGGCTGTACACACCAAGTTTTCTCCGGACGGAAATCCCCTGCGTTATCCTGGAAATACGACTGTTTGTCATATCCCCGCTGAATCGCCTGTCCTTCTCGGGCTTTGGGATGTATATAACACCATCGCCTCTCATCCAACACTTTCGAAAAGATTCCGACTGCTCCCACCTGATTCGTGGCACATGACGGTATTCGACGGCGTCCGCGAAGAAGAGGCCGAACCTGGCATGTGGCCAGAAGGCTTGGAGAAGCTGCCTTTAGACGAATGCACGAGGAACTTTTCCAAGACTGTGAAAAGTCTGGGTCTCTCATTGATGGCGGAGGGTCTGGCACCGCCATACAAGATGCGTGTTAATGGTTTCCAATTTGGTCAGTTTGGCATGGCACTCGATATTGTGGGAGCGACAGACGAAGAGGAAAAACGCATGAGAAGACTGCGCGACAGGCTCGCTGACGCCTTTGGGTTCCGCGCCCCTAACCACCTGACGTACCGTTTCCACGTCAGCATAGCGTATCTAATTCGATGGCTGGAAGGCGACGATCAGGCTGAGCTTGAGAAAGCCGTTACGGGCTGGCTGCCAAAGATAAAGAAAGACTTTGAGCTTGGAACTGTTGAATTCTGTACCTTTGATGACATGTTGTCGTTCCCCAGACTTTTCTATTTAGGCGAGACGTAAAAGGACAAAGCATTACATTAACTTCGCTATTTATAATTGCGGCGCAAGAAATCATAAGAGATTTGAGATATTTACAAATGCATTGAGGATATATGCTTGAAAATACCGACTAATGTTTTTATAAGGGTTTTACTTTGAGTTGATAGACCTGACAGCTGATGCTTACATCACTTGCATCACACGAAGGCTCATCCGTCGTGCATCCTGCTGCCCGCTTCGATTCCCCGGAGAGTCTGAGTCTGCTCTTGGCCAACAGAACTCTACAAGCCTCACGATTATGAAATGGTCTCATTACATCTTGTTTGTCGTTATGGTACCGTCAAAGTTGGTGAGCTCTTCTCGGTGCAGGTGCGAATATTCATTCTCGCAATGATGAAGGATATACTCCAGTTCATTTAGCGTGTAAGTATAGGGAGGTCGAAATTCCTGAATTTATCTGCGAGTAAGTACCGGCTACTCAATTCACCGATGAGGACGCATACTTCAGTCAGCTGTTGGCATTGGTGGTTGTTAATTCCAGGGGGCCAGAATGATGATCAGGAAGTTGATGATCGAAAGACACGGGGCTCCGGAGACGGACATTGCATCAGCCCCCGAAACCCAGGAGCCTGGTTCACGGGTATGATAGACGCACGGGCTTGACTTGGGCGGCCGACTCGCTTACCAATGCGGAGGCTGAAAATGGGAGCTGAAAGATTTCAGAACCCGACAATAGGTGCTGATTGGGCTCCGGTCACTTGAGCCTTTATGCGAATTGCTTTTGATGCCACCCAATAATTTTAGAAAATGTGAGGCGAGACTAGCGTAGATCGCTTTGGCCACCAATGTTCAGTTAGACACCCTGGCACCTCAATAACTTGGTACAGATCAACAAAGATTCACGTATCTCTCGGCAATAATAGAATAGATTTCTCGAATGGGCTAACGATAGTTAATTACCGAACAAGATCGGTGCCTGACGGCCCCACCCCGCCATTTTTAGATCAGGCTTGACATCAATTAAATATTCTGTCCTCCTCACCGACTTCATCCAACATTGTAAAGAATCATCATCTATCGCACTAAATCATCGCAAAAATGAAACAAATCTCCCAAAACCTCAGCGCTGTTGAATCTGCTGTAGCACAACTTTGTGCTGCACTACGAGGTGATGCGCAATCAGAAGCTGGACAGGTACCGCCTTTCCATGGCCCCCATGATAAACATCATCTGACCATATCTCAAGGCTCGCATCAATATCGCAGCGATCAACTTGAAGAGTGCCCTTCAAGCTATGGGCGACTCCCAGTCGGCAATTGACAGCTCTGGTGATGACACCAAGAAGAAGGCCCTCCAGGACTTGATCGGCCCGGTAAATTCCAACGGCTTGAGGATGCACTTTGCGGCTGCTAACATTTAGACCTTGTAGCTTTCCAAAGGTCTTAGCCAATTCGCAAAAATCATCACGAATGTCTACGAACGTGCACCTCTTCCTGATACTGTTGCATTAGACTTGAAGCCTGTTCTGGCCAAGTATGAAGAAGTTCAAAAGGTGAGCACCCCGCACGTATTGAAAGAAGATAATTAATGTGAATAAACAGTCTTATGAGAAGCTTGCTACGAACAGTGGCCTTAAAATCGATTTATACATGCCTGGAATGTCAAATGTGCTGCCAACAAATGTGGAGGAGGCCTTCGGCAAGCTTGGCGGGCGGTAGAGCAAGGCGGCTGATATGGCATTCTCCTTTCGTTTTGGCCAAATACCTACATGCTGCATCCCCAGACTTCGAAATCGAGCAGGATAGCACCTTAATATATTGGACTCGCAGCAATACTGTTACCTAAACTCACGCTGTTGGGTTCTCCGTATATATCTCTGATGCTCGATACTTCTGACGTATCAGAGCATGCATCACACTCTCAGAATATTAACAGTAGCCGCTGTATCCTCCGAGTATGCAAGCTCACTGCATTTCCGTGATTAATGCTAACTCTGCAATTGGGCAGAGGGGTAGGCGAGGTCTTGTGCATGGGCTGGGCTGCATAATGAGCAGCGGATCTGCAGATCTATTGTTATTGCTATTGGTCGCGAAGATTGGCGTATGATGCCAGGGTTTCCTTTTCTCCGGGGTATCCCCTCATCGGGAAGATTGCGCATTGACTTCCGAAAAAGGTCGTATTTGGTGCATAGATGCCATCAGCCCTGTGATATCTTCATACCCATATAACAGCTCTTTTTTCCACTTTGATTCATTCTTTCGCTCTGACTTTATTCCCCGCATCGGTCTTGACTCCTCTGAGTCATTTGTAGAAGCTCTTTATTATATCTTTTCTACCAGCCCTAGGCACTTCCATAAAATGCCTAACGTCAATCTTTCTGTCGTAAAAGCAACCATATTCTCTCTTAAATATCATTTTGTGGGATCCTTCTTCTTACTCTTGGCTCTGAGTTATGTTTACAATAGATATCGGCCTGGTCTTTCTCGTATTCCGGGACCGTCCCTCGCCAAGTGGACAAGGCTTTGGAGACTTCACGATGTTTACAAAGGTCAATCTCATCAGACAGCTATCAGACTACACAAAAAGCACGGCCCACTTGTTCGAATAGCACCCAACATTATATCTGTTGGTGATCCTGCAGCCATCAAAACCATCTATGGATTGACGGGCGCATTTACCAAGGTTGGTCAATTAACCTCTCTGGCTATATGCTTATATTTACATTGACTCTTCAGTCGGCATTCTATCCTATTCAAAGTATTTCTTGGAATAAGAAACCGCAAATGAACCTTTTTTCAACACGGGACACTGTTTATCACCGTGAACAGAAGAAGAAGGTTGCGCACGCTTACAGCCTGACCAGTCTTCTCGGGTCCGAAGAGGCAATGGACTCCTGTACTGAACTCTTCACTTCACGTCTCGACGAATGGGCCATGACCCAAAAGCCCATTGATCTAGGTGCTTGGCTTCAATATTATGCCTTCGACGTCGTTGGTGAAGTAACCTTTGCACAGAAGCTCGGGTTTTTAGAGACGGGCGGAGACGTTGATGGAATGATGGAAACCATTGAAGGCATCCTCTTCTACGCCTCTATGTGTGGACAGGTCCCTGAGATGCACCCGTTTCTACTGGGTAACCCTTTGTTTCCCTATTTAATTCCAGCCATGGAGTCGTGGAATGCAGTCTTGACTTTCACCCTAAAGGCCATCAATTCTCGGACGACTATTCAACGAGACGGTGAACTGGAGCTTAGCGATGACGGAACCAGGGACTTCCTTTCAAAGTGGGCTGCAGTAAAGAACAAGGACCCGCTCAAGATGAGTACCCGAGATGTTATTACACATCTCTCAACCAACGTTTTTGCTGGATCGGATACTACCGCCATCGCTCTCAGAGCAATTATTTACTTTCTTATCAAGCATCCACAAAAGATGACAAAGGTTGTGGAAGAGATCGATACGGCCAATGAAAACGGAAAGCTCAGCGATCCTATCTCATACAAGGAATCCACTAGTCATCTGCCATACATGGGAGCTGTGATCAAAGAAGCGATGCGGCTACATCCCTCTGTCGGGCTACTCATGGAGAGACATGTCCCGCCCCAGGGAGCAGAGATATGCGGGCAATTCATTCCCGGAGGCACAATTGTCGGCATCAACCCATGGGTTCTTCACTCAGACCCCAAAGTGTACAAGGATCCTGAATGCTTCATTCCTGAGCGCTGGTTGACTGCAGACGCCGAGTTACTCTCCAAGATGGAAAGTAGCTTTTTGTCTTTCGGTGCAGGCTCGCGAACTTGCGTTGGAAAGTACATTAGTCTGATGGAAATGCATAAGGTGGTGCCGCAGTTACTCAGGAAGTATACTATTGAGCTGGAGAATCCCGAGGCTGAGTGGCGAACATCGAACCGTTGGTTCGTACAGCAGCATGGGCTGATTTGCAATCTGAAGAAAAGAACATGAATTAGAGAATACTCGCAGTATCTTGTATGGTCCATGAAAAAGCTAGTCAAGATAGGAAAACCAATATTTCGACTTGGTTTTCATCTCTGAATTATTCTCGAGGATAACTACTCCAACCTGCACTATTGCCTCCGTTTGCATATCCTCAGTGTACATTGCAGTTTTCTCCCTTGCTTTATGCTCCTTAGACTGTCGATGACGCCACCGGCAAAGAACCTAGGAAATGGGTATTTGACAACAGACTGAAATCAGGATGCAAGGCTTATAAGTAAGTATCTGAACACATTCAGTTTAACTATCTTGTAATACTTTTAATGCTTCTCTTTGGGTACCGTGGAATCCCTCACGTGCGCTACGATAAAGTGAGATCATCATGTAAGCGTGCTGACTTTCTACGAGCACAAAGTGTCACATATACAGTACCCTCAGCTCAAGTCCTTAATCTGGACCCCATTTTATATCTCGATGCAAGCATCGATATCCTTTTGATCGTAGCCCAAAGACCACCCTACAGCTTTTCTTTCTCAATGGAAGTGGCTGCACCGTTGTCGGAGTTTAGATTCCGTTCATTTTAATGATAGTAAATAGTAATATACCTATAGCCTGTTTTTAAACTTATTGTAAACAAAACTTTACTCAACCTGCTTCTCATGTCTTCGCTGATCCGAACTGATCCAGTAAACTCCCTTCCGTGCTTGAATCAACGGGTCATTAGACGACTTGATACCCTCAATACCACCTTGCTCCGGGTTAGGCTTGAAGGCGATCTGTTGCTGCTTAGCCACATTGTCATCTGAAACCTTGTTGATCTCCAGCTTGCCAACAGGAATGAACGTCTTGCTTTGATATGGTATGGTGGCGTCATCTAGGACATCGTCGGGACCAGCAATATGTGCTTGAATGGTAAGCACGATTGGCTTGTCTGGGAAGCGCTCTCGGAGGTCATCCTCCAAGTAGTCGTTGCCTAGCTTCGCAAGCACTTCTTTATCCTCGGGAGTCTTGTTGGGGTAAAGGTGCTCTCCATCAGTGGGGTCAAGACGGTAGCGGACATTAGTGACACGGCCGTCATTATTGGTGAGGACATGAGTATTGGGCTCGTAATACGTGATAGTGCCGTAGTTATGAGGATTAGGCTTCTCTGAAGCAACAAAAACAGCAGCAGACTTGTGCTCAGGGTTCGCAAGGAACGACACAAACGCAGCGTGAGCCTGGTCATAAGCCTTCTGCTCCTTTGAGTAGTCTCCGCCGCCAGCCTTGGCCTTCTTGAGCTGCGCCTCGGTAAACCCATCAGCGCCAAAGAGCTTCAGGAAGGTCAGAAAGTCTTCGCCATTTCGGGTTGCAAACCCATTGAACGAGTGGCTGATGAGATCAGTGTGAGTGTTCTCGTCAACTTGGAAGCGAATGGCAACGCCCTTGGGTGTAGCACCATCGGCCACGTCTGCAACATGGGGGAGACCGCCGCCGACAGAAAACCGCGCGATAACCTTGGTCGAAGGATTGTTGAAGTGGGCAGCTGTGGAAAGCTTCTTGGCTTCTTCAGTTGGCGTAAAGGTGCCCTCAACAAGCAGGCCTTTGGCATGAGCTGCAAACACCAGTCGTCAGCCTTCATATTAGTCTGTTATATTAAGAATCTTACTTGTTCGGTAGCCAGGGTGCTTGCCAAAGATTGCTTGCATAGCATTGACCAAGTCCTGAGGGAGCTGGTCTTTTGGCGGCTGGGTCTCAGTTGACGAAACGTTTGGTGCGCGCTTAGATGTCTGGTCCGGCGCGCTGGTCACACCAGAGCTAGGGTAGATGACTTGAGAGGACATTGTGAAAGTAGTTTGTAGATAGCTTGAGATGATAGGGAAACTGACTGACCGTGAGATGAATGCGAGAAGAGCAGATATTTGAGGATAAGATAAAGCTGACATCGAGGGACTCGCCAGGAGATACGCACGCAAATCCTACGAGTATCTGCTAGTTTTCAGCTCGCAACCCAACAGAATAATCGCGAAAGGAGGGATGCAGTTCCAGACCGTACCATCCACCACTAGTAATCCTATAGTCGAGACATGGAGCACAAATGAGGTTCCAGACCCATTTCCATCATGAAGATTCTATCATCTTGCATTTCAGCTGGCCACAGCGATGTCAAGATTACTCATGCTGACAGGAGGGGTAGAGCGTGTGTGCAGTATATCCTCGAATTGTCTCATGTTGCGCTGCAGGACAAGCTTAGTATTGTCAGGGATTATTCACGCTAGTCAACCCTCAACTACCCTTCAATAACGACATCACGTAATATTCGCATCCGGGACTTGTTCAAGTTTCAGCTCCATGCAGAGTCACCATAAAATTTGGCTGCCTAAGTAGCCCAGGGACCTAATTAGGACGACTACTCCACACTGGTGAGGCTGACCTGCAAGGGTCTTCTGAGTGTAAGAGAGAGATGACTGCACGAAGCAGACTTGGCGAAGTGAGGGGAAATGTCCGGAATATTGGATCGATGCGCAGGAATGGTTCCATGGCCATTGCGACAATATTGTGGCTTAGTGACGAAATTCAAGACACGCATGCTTGGCCCGAACGTCAGCAGCTTTCCTTGAGCCGTGATTGGGCTGCATAACCAACCTTGCTCATGACAATGCATAGAACGTACGTTATTGGGGTTTATACCAAATAGTCCATGCAGTTGCGGATCCCGCCGTTTGGTTCCCAGGCCACGTAGCCTATTCCAGCCATGTCTAAAACACTGAGCCGCACTATAATGAGCCTAATACTACTAGTAGCCAGCCACAATAGAAAAATCTAGCCGTTTTACAAGCGATAACATGCCGAACTAGTAGTGCCAACTGAAACAATTGAGATCGCACAGCCTATATCTGGAGTTAAAGCCTATGTTGAGCGTGATGACGAAATGCACACCGCTCATTTGCGCAGTTGTCATCATTCCCCTGTGAGATTGTTCAGCTGGGCCCATAACCCAACGCTTACTCAGATTGGCGCTCTCAATGCATCGGCTTACCCGCTCATCTGTTTCTTGTCGTTCATAGTTATACTGTAACCTCGGCATTGGTGCCTGATAAGGCGAATGACCCTATATGCTTATGCATCTAGTTCGAGACGGGCTCGGCCCGCGTGGTCTGGGGCCACCTGTTCGTTTACCAAAACTAACTGGCCGAAGGCTGTGTTCCTTCACGAATCCTGGTCGTTTTGTTGAGATGCACCAATGGGTCCGTGGCTGGCTGAGAAACATAGCTCTGTTCATGTGGCGAGCTGTGGTCGTCCTCCGAAATATCACGCATTCTAGACTCGTATTGACCAGCATCTGCTTACTGTTGGTGCTACTTGAGTTATCGGCGCAACGTTAATGAGAGGAGCTGCCAACTCCACAGCGCAGTTGAGATGAAAAGGTAAACAGAATATATAAAGTAGTTGGTGGAGCATAGACAGCATATCAATTCAGTTCTTACATCTCTCCATCTTCCATCACTCTCATCACCGAGCCCTCCCTACTTACCAGGCAAGCACATCTTCCATCATGGCAGCAGCACCTCCTCTTGCCCCCCGTCCTCCTCAGTTGACATTGGATGAGATCCTCAACTCCAAAGTCAACTATGCTGTCGAGGACGATCCTCTCGAGGTTTGGGACAAGGGCGTCTTCCTGAATGAGCTTCTCAGACAAGGTATCGTCCTCAGCACTGACAAGACTGGTGCTCTCGATGGCAAGCTTGTTGCGCGCAAGGGTCTCCAGACTGGCACCTATATGGGTACGCGCTTGGCCTTGACTGAACTGTACAAGATTCTCGAAGAAGCGTAAGCAAGACGACCTTGGCTCTCTCATTTCCAATCCGCTGACTTCGAATAGCGCTGCCTCTCACTTCGACACTCAGGGATTCGAGCCCATCTTTCCCGTCAAGCGTGATCTCGCTGTTAAGCAGAGCACCTACCAATGGAGCGACCCTAGCGACTGCTATCCCCCTCATCTGAAGACCGACACCCTCCCCAAGGATGAGCAACAAAGTCCGGACGGTGGTCCCAGAAAAGACGGCGTCGGACAAATCTTCAACGAGACAGAGGTAAACTTTGTCAAAAAGCTTGCTTTTATGTTCTCCTTCATCATCCCCAAGGAGCTCTCATCAACCGATGGTCCCTACGTCGGACCAACTCTTGCCGACGTTGAGAAGTGGAGCAAGGACAACCAGCCAAAGGCTGACTCTGATGCTGACCAGAGCGCGAAGCCCAATGGCGCTGTTGTCAATGGCGTCAAGCAAAGCCAGAACGCAGATATCATGAAGGGCAGAAACATGGGCGAACACGATGATTGGTATTCTGATGCCAAGTTTGCGCAACAGCACTTCAGCGGTGTCAACCCTTCGACTATCGAGACTGCTCCTGCTGAGAAGATCAAGACTTACATTGCCGAGGCAGAAAAGCAAGGCCTTGATGCGGTGAAGAAGCTGCTCGAGGAGTGCAAGGACATTTTGATTCAGGATTATTCCTACTTCCGTGAGGCCACTGGTGTCAAGAACGACGAGGAGTTCAAAAATACAATCCCGAACCCAGATCCTAGTGGCCAGCCCAGCTACCGATATGCTGCCGCCTCGGTCGTTGTCTTCCAGCTCCACGGGGACGGTCGCCTTCACCCACTGGCCATCACCCTTGACTACAAGGGCTCTCTCGATAACTCCGTCACCATCTTCAACAAGAGACTGAACCCTGATGACAAGGGCAAGATCGCTGAGAAGGACGACTGGCCTTGGAGATACGCCAAGACCGTTGCCCAAACAGCCGACTGGGCACGACACGAAGTAGCCACCCATCTTGTCGACACGCACATGATCGAGGAGGCCATCATCGTCGCCACCAACCGAACAATCCCCGAGCGTCACATCCTCTATGAGATCCTCAGCCCTCACTGGTTCCGAACCCTTGCTCTCAACGACGCTGCGCGCAAGCTTCTTGTTCCTCTTGTCATCGCTCGCATCTCCGGTTTCGCCTCTGGACAAAAGCCTGAT